TAGTGTCCAATACAGAGAGCCTAGCTGAAAATTATGATGATTGATAAATAAGAATCCAATTCGATTTGAAGAATTCAAATCCTCACAAGTATGCTAATTTTATAATTCATTAGAAAATACAAAAAAGGTAGAAATCAACTAATATAGGCATATAGCTATCATTATCCACATGGATTCACATTTAGCCTTTACAGTGACTCAGAAAAGAACCTAGGAAAAAAAAAATTAACTTTCTTTTTATTTTGAAAGAAAAAAAAAACTTAAGGATGTGCTTCTGATAAAAAAAAAAGTGTCCTTAAAGAGAATGAGTGGCATTTGTGTGATTTAAAGGGAAATCAAAGGGTAATTCTGATATTGATGAGCAACACAAATGCTCCTCTTCAATGATACTTAGCATGTGATGGACTGCTCCTGCAATGTCATCTACTGAACTTAGCTGGCAACTCTCTTCCACCTTTAAAAATCCAATAAAAATATGATGTAAAACAGTTATAACCCTAGGAAATTAACATTCTGTGAATTCGGAAATAAAAAGAAATTAAATAATTATGATTCATTTTGCAATAATTTTGAACCTCTTCTCAAGAAATTGGTAAGAAAAGAAAAATAAGAAAAGTGACTCCGGCAAGTATGGTAATAAATGTTAGACCAAATCTAGTTAAGAGTTCATTGACATTCCTTTTCTATGCCCTGTCCCTTGGACCGTACATAATCTACCGTCTAGCTCTAATTTTGTAACATTTATTCTAAAATATATATTATTTGATTATATAATAAATCCGTCTACTCCGGTTTAGCTTCAGGCATAGAGTAGAGTTTATATGATAATGATAAGAGTTCGATTACCCTAGTGCAGCTGCTGATAGAGTAAACAGCATACAATGTCCAATGGTAATAACCTTATTCAATCCGGTTTAGTCCGGTTTAGATGATATATAGGGTTTTAATTATTACCTTAGTGCTGATGGAGTATATAGCAAAAGTTTCCAATGTTGTGACACTGAGGTGAAGCACGGAGAGGGAGAGTGATTGTAGAGCAGCCACCAGCTTCGAAAGCTGCGGTGGCCCGGCGGTGGTCACCGCGGTCCACCGGAAACCGTTTCTTCTTGACAAGATTCTGATGTTAGCATGAGTTTCGATTAGAGTCACTTCGAGATCTTCCATAGCGGTTTTCACCGAGCTTGTTGAGCCGTTCATATTCTCCTGGCTCGGATCGTACGAGTAAAGAAAGAACTGTGACAGCGAGGAAGGTTGATGGGGAATCTCCGGATCGCCGTTAGTGTCTTGACTTGTTGAAGAAGTAACCGTCTGGTTTAGTTTAGCCTTTTGAAGCTTTTGAGCTTCAAGAGATAGTAATTGATGTTCAAGTTCTTTGATGAAATCTATGGCTCCACCAACTATTGAAGCTTGGTCGCCCTTTAATGAAAAAACCCACAACAAAGAATGAACATATAAGTAAATATATAAAAACCAAAAATGAAATTTTAACCTTTTTAAAGAAATGGTCATGAAAAGAGGATCAACGAAACTCAAATCGAAATCTTAAACATCTTTTTGAAGTTTTTTTTAATAGTGAAAATTGAAACCCAATCAAAATTTTTATTTTAAAGAGAAAAACTCACAATCAATATTTTATAACTTTGATTGTTCATAAAATTGAAACCCTAGTTGAAGTTGTAAACTTTTCTATAAGAATAAAGAATTATCCATTAAAATTGAACCTTTTGAGCAAAAGGTTGAGGCATGAGAGATCTTAAGACAGAGAGATGTTGATTCATTTGTCTTCTCCGATTTCTCTCTACGGCGATGTGAGTCATTCGTTGATTCTCAGCTTCTTCTTCGTTTTTGCAAACCCTAGGCTTCCTCCTCCTCCGCTTCTTCCCTCTGCTAGCTGGTGGTGGCTGCCGCGAGGACGGTTCTTGGTGGGATATCGCCGGAATTGTGTTCTTGGAGATGATGATATCATTTTCCGGCGATGGCTCGAGATCGACGAGAGACTTGAATGGGGTTGGTGAAAGAGTCTCAGAGAGTAAAAAGTTTAAGAGACCGTTTGATGATAAAGCTTCTAGTGTCATTTCTCTTTACGACGTACTCATTGAATTGCTAAGTATCGTTGAGTTATATAGCAACATTCCAAATCCTTAGTATTTTTGTTATAAAAAATAAATAAATATAGAGTTGTGGGCGAAAACGACATATTCAGAAAAATAAATGAAAATGATTATAAAATATGACAAATGTTGAAGCTCTGAGTTTTCTGAGTGTGTACATGTGCCATTATTTGATTTTGATTTTGATCGGTACTATCATGGAGTGTAATTCTGAAGAAAGCAACTATGAAAATTGCTGAACGACATAATCTTTTTTCTTTGTTCTACCATTGAATTTTGTAAAATTTTGACTAAACATGCATATATATGTTTTGTAGTTTATAAAAAAAGAACATGACAATCACATAATAGAAGGAAGAAGAGAAATGGAGTTGTAATGGCACGTGAGATGGGTCAGACAGTCTAAGGTCTTGTTCTTTTCTCGAAGTCGTGGACCATCACTTATTTTTTTTTTTCACTTAATTACCCCTTTTACTACCTAAAAGCCTCTAAACATTTTACATTTTTAAAATGTGAACAAAAAAACACTTTTTATAACGTATTTCAGCCCCAAAGGCAACACTAATACATTAATCTTTTGAATATTATCAGTACAAATGCAAATAAGCAAATATCTAGTATTATATTCGATTAAAAAAAGAATCTCAATGATCTAAAGAGAGACTAAATTCCAAGTCTTTGAATCAAGAAGAAAACAAATGGGACCAAACCGGTTCGGTATTTGGCATGAGTGGACCGTGGGGACCGGACAGTAGCTTACACATATAGTGACAAATGAGTGCTGGAAGAAAGCAAAATTTTACATTGAAATCTTTTTATTTGTTTCTTCGATTGCATCTAAAATCTATTTCGTGGGCTAAATATAACATATCCACAAGATTTTTTTCTTTGTATGATATTGGGAAAAGTGAGTAATTATTATTGCAATTGTATGCTTATAATTAAAAAAGGACTGTCCCTATTTCAACAGTCAGATTTGTTTGCACATTAGAAGGACCAGAAGAAGCTATGAAGGTATAAAACACAGCCCGTGATTAAAAAAAATTCTTATATTTAATTTTCTTTAAATTACTTGTAAGTTTAACCATCTGCCCTTTCTGTTTTCTTATGATAGAAATTGTCAGAGTCAAAAACAAAAACAAAAAACGTTAACTTTCACAAATTAGACAGCTCCATACACAAAATCTATCAAATATTTTAAATAATAGAAACAAACCCACACTGTAAATTCTAATTGATAAAGCATACAAAAACAAATTAACAAGAGAATAAAGTAATCATTAGCAACAATGACCTCCATTCCAAATCAAGAAAAATATATCTTAAGTTTCAAGAATTTGACAATATATCAAAAGAAAATCTACTTAGATAGCGGTCTATTTAAGAGTTTCTAGAATTACTAATTCAATTTCATCTAAAAAGGTGATTTATACTTTTAAATAAAATGTGGTATTATTAACGACTAACCTCAAACAGGAAAAATTATGGCCAAAATTTCCAAAGTTTATCAGCAAAAAAAATCCACAACACTTCTCTTGTGGCCTATACATTGGGGGTTTTGGGTTTCAGATTATCGGTTTTAGAAAAACAAATCCGAACTAAATGATTTTTTATTTTTTTTGGTTTGAAAAGTTTCGGCTCAGTTCAGAATCGATTTAGATTCGGTTCGGTTTAAATGAATATTCATTTGGGTTTGGTTCGATTGATTCGGTACAATTTATTTGCAACCGTTGGGGGTTAAGATAAAACTCGGCTGTCCCGAATTCGAGCTTGGTTTGGGTTTGCTTCGGTATAATACTTTTGTAATTGTTCGGGTCAAAACAAATTAGGTTCGGTGTTGGTTTAAGAAATTTTGATTCGGTTCGATTTGTTTGATTATATTCAGTTTTAAACCTTTTTTGGATAATCGGGTCTACTAAACGTCTAAGCCTAATCTCACAATTTATAATCACTATGTAAATTTCACATGAATACACACCTAATAAAACTAGAATCTCTTCATGCGAAAACGGCCAATTACCCTATGAATTGTATGTCTTCTGAAAGTCCATACACGAACTATTGAACCATGCCTATAGCTACATGTCACAGCCAATCACTCACACTCGACCAACTGATCTACATAAATTTTTTAATAGAAACTATCTAATAAAATTTATATAGACACTTTATTGTCGTTTTTTAAGGAGAGGATCGATCCTGTGGCATGTTCTTTGCGCTTCCAGGGATCCTGATTCTTCTTCAGCGATAGATTCACAACAAGGCTAGAGATTTCATCTGTACTAGGTTGTATCTCGAAGCAATCATACTCTTTGCAAGAGCACGAATCCAAGGGAAACAAAGTGAAACTCTAGCTTTGTCTTTCGTGCGAATCATATTTCTCATCATAATCAAACCTTGCTCTGGATCGAAATTATCAGTGATATTAAGTTAGTTGTAGATCTGTTCCCTGGGAAGAATTCGCAGCGACGGAAGTTGAAGGAGGAGAGATTTGATTTCAGTTTTAGATGAAGAAGACGACATCGAAGAATAGGAGTTTTAGGGATTAAAAAAGAGTTTTAGTAATTATTTGATAGATAAAATAATAAAGTCTATGTAGCTCAATTGGTTGAAAGATAGATGGTTTGCTGTGATGTTGAAGGTTCAAACTCAGCCAAATGAATTTAATTTTTTATTTTATTTTTTAAGGTCACTAAAACGACATCGTTTTGATGGTTGAATTAAAAAAAAATCAGTTAAACCACATATCATAACAAACCGATATGCCATATGTCAGCCATGTCATTAAATATTGACGGAAAACTCACATTGTTTACAGTTTTGATAAAATTAATCATATTTTAATATTTCATGTAGCTATAAGCATGATTCAATAGTTCATGGGGAATTGGCCGTTTTCCCATCTCTTAATTTCATTGACAAGCAACAATGTCCGTTTGCTTCCAAGTTCCAATAATTTGACTTAAAAGATTCCTGTGAATGTTTTTACACTCAGCAAACGTGTCTACTCTTATCTGATTCGTTGCATCAACAAACAAACACGTGTTCATGTCTGTAAAATCTCTGAAAGCATCCATCTCTAAACTTGCAACAGATCTTTGTACTTGTGCATCTGTAGAGAGATTAATAGAAGTGTGTACCAATTTACGAAGTCCGAGAAAAAGAAAGACAAGAAAAACAAAGAGGACGAAGACCAGAAACTGTTGTTGTCAGATTTGTCCACGTCTAGATAGTAAACTCAGTCTTTATCTTTAGTCCTCTGCTCAAAAAAAAAAAAAAAAAAAATTCTTACTGGTTTCTGTTAAAAAACAGAGAAGCTCCAATAGTAAAAATAGTTCTATAGAAAAAGTCCAAACTTCAAAAATTAGCTTTTTTCACTGTGTTCAGAAGCAGCACATGAGTAACGTGGCTACATTTTGGGACCAGTGGTTCCAAAAATGGCGTCTTAGGTCATTTGTCTAAACTTACTTTGGACCCTTAAGGACTCTTTACCAAACTTTTAACAGAATGAAATGAACACAAAGAAGATACGTTTAAACCTGAAAATTACTGGAGCAAAATCACAATCTTGCTCTTTCATTCAATATCCTCAAAATCTAACTCATCTAAGTAAATTTACAAGCGACAGATTTCTCATCTCTATGCGATTAAATCCCAAGTTTTCCCACCAAGTTGCTCAATAGTGAAACAATAGCTAACCTCAAGTCATTGATGTTGTTGAAAAATGCGAAAGATACTTTCAATGTCTTACAGGATGCTTTAGTGCATGGCGCTTAATAGCAGCTTGGAGTTTGATATCCGTCTCCCTCGCCGCCTGGTTAGATACCGTAATCCGTAAACCAGACAACACTGCTCGTCTTGCTGATGATGGAATCTTCATTCCCATTTCGTAACAAGACAAGAGCACTTTCGAAGCGCATACTATCCGCCCATCTTTACATAGATTATGCACAACAGAAGTGCAAGCGTACTCATTTTTCACCGTCATCGACCTAAACAACATCAACGCACGGTCTACATGACCCGCTTTACACAACCCATCAATCAAACAGTTACAAGTGACGACACTTGGCTGCTCCCCTCTCTCTTCTATACAAGCCAAATGCTTCTCAGCTCCTCTCATATGCCCTAAGCTTAACAAACCATTGACTATGATCGTGTTCGTGTAGTCATCATGCTTCAATCCCTTCATCTCTATCTCCTCCAAAACATCATCCACTGCGTCCAAGTTCCCTTCTTTAAAGTAAAGATTCAACAACGTGTTGTACGAGACAATGTCTTGACTCCGTGTACCGCTTCTCACAAGCTCTACCATACACTCGTACGCCTCCTCTGCTCTTCCGGTTTTAATCAAAGCACTAACCACCGCACAATTCGCATACCCGTCAAATGTATACCCTTCTTCCTTCATCTTCAAGAAAAGCTCAAGCCCTTTCTCAATCCTCTTGGTCTTGAAATAAAGCTTAAGCATCGTCGTGTAAGTAACAGCATTCGGAGTGTAACCCGATTTCTTGAGCTCTCTCAGCATCCAATTCACGCAATTCATTCTTCTTGATTTACAAAGACCGTTGATGAGAATGTTATACGTCATGAGCTCTGGTTTAACCCGGCTCTTGAGCTGTTTAAAGAGCTCGATCGCATTATCCGTGTGACCGCTTTTGAAAAGCGCGTCGAGCAGGATGTTGAAAGTATCAACACCTGGAGACAGCCCGGCGCGATATACATCCTCGTTAAGTATCTGAAACGCATCTCCGTGTCTCCCGAGCTTGAAGTAGCAAGACATCAAAATGTTGTAACTCCATATGTCAGGAGATAAAAGTGATTGACGCATTTCGTCGAACAGTTGGTGGACACGATTCAGCAATAGGTGTTTTGCGGCTCCTGAGATCAACGAGTTGTATGTAACGATGTCGGGTTTGATTCCGGCTTCTCTCATCCGACGAGTTACGGCGTAAGCCTCGTCGATTCCGACGAAACGAGTGTACCCTTTGATTAACGTGTTGTAAGTGACGACATCGGGAAGAACACCTAATCGGATTCCGTCTATGATCAAGGACTCGACTTTCTCCAAGTTTCGGAATTTGCAGAGAGAATCAACACATATGTTCAATAGCTTCGTGGAGAATTTCGGGAATTTCATTAACTCACAAGCCATTTTTCTCCAAGAACACTAAATCAAATCGACATAGAAGGGATGGTGGAATATTTAGAGTTTTCAAGTGAGTAAGTAGCATTTGGAAACGTGATGATCACGAATTTTGACAGATAAGGTAGAAACTCGATAAAAAAAAAGAAAAAAAAAACAGGAATTCAAAAGCAGAGCTTGACGAAGAAGAAAACATATGAATATCCTAAAGCTGCGTCGTATTCAAGTTTCAATCACTTCCGCTTTTACAACACGGCGTCGTATATAACCAAAGTAGCATTTGGAAACGTGATGATCAAAAATATTTTTTGACAGATAGATTAGAAAAAAATAGGATCTTTTTATTTATTCTGTTAAAGATGATCATTTGGTGTTATATAGAAAATAAAATATCATCTTTAACAGAATAAATAAAAATAATTAATTAAAAATTAAATTTGAATAAAAAAATGACACATTATGTTTTTCTTTCTCATGCATAATCACACGATTAAAAATTAGTTCACACTAATCAGATTGAAGCAAGTTGCCGCACTCTTCAATTCATTCTCTCTGATTTCACCTATCGATTCCTTTAACGATTCACCGGAGGGTTCAAAACATTTTTTTCCCAAATTTTTTAGATTTTTTAAAAGGAGAATAACACAAAGAAACGTGCAAAAAAGGAAAGACAACAAAAACACATACCTTGAAGCGTAAACTTTTTTGGAATCTGCAAATGATTGTCTGTCATCAATGAAGTCGAGGAAGTGATGGATTTCATCGTATTCGTGAGCATCATCTCTTTCCCCCTCTTGCTGATTTGATACCATTTGAAGATTAACGAGTTGCAATTGTATGGCCATCACACCATTATTGCTCTTGATCTCATTACAGCTCTCGTTTTGATTGTTGAATCCACTGTTATGACAAGGAAATCCATTCTGACCCAACCCATTCTTATTAGCCTCACCACAACTATAAGTGTAAGAGGTGTTGTTGGGTTTCAGAAATGGTCAAAGGACTAAAGAATGATGTATTTGGATTATTGTTAATGGGAAGTCTCATTCCTAAGTCGAGCTGTGATGTAATATCCTCTTGTTTTTCACCAATGAATGATCATTCTGTGTTATATAGAAAAAGATGATCATTCTTTGTTATATAGTAAGGTATGTGTTTTTTTTTTGTTTTTCTTTTTCTACACGTTTTTTTGTGTTATTCTCTTTACAAAAATCTAAAAATTGGGGAAAAAATGTTTTGAATCATATTTTTTAGTAATTGCAGCTCTGGTGAATCATTAAAAGAACCGATAGGTGAAATCAGAAAGAACGAGTTGAGGAGTGTGGCAATTTGCTTCAATTTGACTAGTGTGAACGATTTTTGATCGTGTGATTATGCATAAGAGGGAAAAACACAATATCATTTTTTTATTCAAAATTTAAATTTTAATTAATCGTTTTTATTTATTATGTTAAAGATGATATTTTGTTTCTATATAACACGGAATGAATCTTTAACTAATTTTGACAGATAAGTTAGAAACTCGAGGAAACAAAGAAAAGAAAAAATGAATTCAAAAGCAGAGCTTGACGAAGAAGAAAACATATGAATATCCTAAAGTGACGTCGTATTCAAGTTTCAATCACTTCCGCTTTTACAACACGGCGTCGTATATTAACCAAAGACAAGGCCGTTTTCATTTTTTTTAAACCAACATTTAAAAATCTCTATAATCCCAACTAACAAAACGAACTAATTTTAATAATTAAAAAAATTTGTAAAAAATCTTCACTAATTTTCTGAATCCAGTACAAGTGATTGACCAGAGACTTCACCAAACCGGCCTCCTCTGTTTCTCATAAGCTCACCAAAAGAAATACAACTCTCTGTTTGAGTATTGTTATTTCTTCTTGTAACCTTAATCTTAACATGATCCGGTAATCTCAAAGTATACCGATCTTCTTCCTCCGGTTTATTCCTCACTATCGAATGACCCGTCGTCTTCGATCTCGAGAATTTATCCGGTAAAGATTCAACCTTTCTCTCGTTGTTGTTACCACTACGAGTACTACTCTGTCTCGACAACAGAACCTCGTTCGACGATGTTGTCGTTTGATCTCGGTTATCGTCTCGACTCTCGTGTATGACTTCGATGATCAGCTCTTTGATGTTTTCAGGCGCGTTTGGATCTAGATTCCGGCGACAAACAGGGCATGTTTTGTTGGATTCGAGCCATCGATCGATGCATTCTTGGTGGAAAACATGGTAACACGTGGTTAAGAGACGGAGAAGGATGTGTTCTTCTTCGAATTCGAGAAGACAAATTGCGCATTCGAGCCCGTGTTTGTCTTCTCGGAGATCTTTGACTGATGAGAATGGAAATAACGGGAAGGATTGGATGATTCTTGGCTCTAAACCGGGGTTAGGTGGTGGTTGACCGGCGGTTTCTTGTTGTGATTGGATTTGGTTTTCTGGTGATCCGTTGCGGTAGTGGCGATTCCAAGCTTGTGTGAGACTGTGGAAGAAGTATTTGCAGAAATAGAGAGTGAAGAAACCTATGAAGAAGACGACGAGGAGGATCACGGTTAGGATTATGACGAGTGGTGGTTTATTGTAATGATGTAGTGGTTGAGACTGAAGTGTTATGTTTGGTTGGATCGGTTGTGCTATCGGCATTGAGTGTCGGAGATTGTTTATCTCCGCCGTAGAGAATTGAGAGGTTGAATGCTTTTTTGTTTCTCAATTCATATTTTGTTTTTGATTTTATTTTTTGATGAAATATGATAGATTTTGTGTATGGCGAGAATGTGAAAAAAAAAAAAAAAAAAAAAAAATGGTGAGAATGTGAGAGTGTGTGGGTGTGTGTGTGTAGGATTTGTTTACTTAATTTAGAAATGAGTTTTGTTAGTTGTGTGTGTGTGTGTGATTGCTTTAACTTGCATTGAACGAGTCTTTAGTGACAATGTGTTGATGATTAAACCACCACAATTAAGCTACTTAGTCTAAATACTGAAAAGTGCAGAAGGATTTGCTTAAAGTTGAAGTTATTTTTTTTTTAGACACAGATGTAATTTTGATTTGTAAAACTAAATTGCAGGATATTTTATAGAAATACATAAAAAAATCTAAAAACATATCAAATGTCATTGGTGACACAAACAAAAGAAATGCAATTTACATGGTGGGAAATAGAGGATAGAGTGAATTAAGTAAATGGTAAGTAACGGAGATTTATTTAGGAAATTATTGTTAGAATTGTAATTAAGGAAATAGCTAAAGAATGGTGAAAATATAACGTGTTTTTTTTTCTTTATCAAGCCTTAAAAATATATTAACTTAATTGGTATTCTCGAACATGGATATATATACCATGAGTATCATGCGTTAATAATTTCCAAGTGTTAAACCATCTTAATATCTTATGAAGGAGTATAGACACTATTTTACACTTGTACTAATTAAACTTCAAACATTATACATGCTAATTAATTTACTTATGAATACTATAAGACGCACGGACTTTAACTAAATTACAACTCCATGTTGAAGGTAGACAAAAAAACTGTTTTTTATTTTCGTTTAGCCAAAAAAAAATGTTGAGCGTAGAGGAAACAGCATTAGGTAAATTTCGGGTAGTTACATACTTGCAACTATTCGTGGTCTAGTGGTGAGAGCATGGGTCAGTGCTCTATCTTCCACTGATCGAGTTGTTGCACCACATCGACAAAACTGGATATCAGTAAATTAATTTAGTGATATTACTGTATATGCACAAATGAGGTATTCTAAAATACCTTTTTTCTGGTATTAATATAGTGTTTATTTTTTGTCTTATACAAAAGCCTCTTTTTGTTAACAGTTATCATCATCGCTCTCATTTTTTTTTTTTTTTATGTAGGAAAAATTAAACAAGGTGTTCAATCTATAAACTCGCAAGTTTAATCAATATAATCAGATGTACAAAGAAACAAGGTATTCAATTTGTAAGTAAGAGTTCTTAGTCTGGTTTCATTATGGTAGTTATATCAGATATTTTGGGTTTAGTCTTTTGTTGTTGGCTTGAATTGAAATTTAGTCGTTAGTAATAATCGTATAGATTTTCTTTAAATGTATATGTAAGATGTAACACAAATCAAATAAATTAAATCAAATCATATTTAGCAAACAAAAAAAATTAAACCAAATCATAGTTCACTATAACTAGGAGACAAAAAAAAAAAAAAAGATTTGGTAGTCATTAAGTCTCTGCGGGGTTAGCTGCAGTCGTCCATCTAGTCTCATTGGTCTGACCACATGTGAGTGATTTCACCAGACCAGAGTTCGAGTTTAGACGACTGCATCTGATGAGAAGATGATGATGATGATGATGAAGAAGTTATGTTTCACTATCACATTTGAGGTACTCTAAAGTACCTTTTTCTTTTTAATCGCATGGTTTGATGAGAAGCCACGTGCAACTTAACGACGGCCGATTAAGCTTCTCTCAATTGCCGCTTAGCGCCATGTAACGTGTCATCACATCAACGGTCATCACATCCAACGGCTGTGAGACCAAAGCTTAATTGCACCTTATGAGAGGTTGGCGACAAATCTAACGGCTGATATTCAAAGAAAAATCGATAGCGAAGACATGAACCCCAAACGTCGTTAATGATTAACATCGGCCTAATGTTTTTAAAAATAGTCTTAATAATGTATACTTGTATCATTTAATTCAGATAGTCTTAAAATTGAAAGAGGTAACAAGAAAAAGAGAGATTTTTATCACCATCACGTAAAAAGAAATAAAAAGAGTCACATAAAATTAACCAAAAAAAAAAAAAATTAACCGAGAAACTAAAGTAATCACTAAAAAGCAATGTAAAGACTAAAGACCATCCCCACAAAAAAAAACTAAAACCCCCTAATTTTAAGATCTCTCTATATGTAATTATTTATCTAAAAACAAAAACAAAAAAAGAAGCTAGTAGAAGCCTCAAGCTTGAAATCTTCTTTAGTTTGGCATAACCTTCACAAAAGAAACAAAAGATCAAATCCAGCCTAAACCAACCAAAACCGAAGCAGATTCTCTGCAGCAACTTCTGATTATTGACCATTACTCGGCCAAAGATTATGGTACATTTGCATCTGACGCAGTTGCTGTTGTTGCTGTTGAGCCACAGAGTTTCCATAAATCCCATTGTTATTGTCACGGTGCATCGAAGGAGAACCGCTTTCATTCTCATCTGATGACTCGCTTGATGGTCCTTGAGAGTTTGATCCAAAGTTCAACATATTAGCCGGTGCTGAAGCAGGTTCAGGATTCTGTCCCCGAGCATTGTTCCCGCTACTCTGTTTCGGTTTCTTTGCTTCTGCAACAAAGCTTCCCACTATGACCTGTATATTGGATCACATTGGGAATCAAATGAAACATAAAAGAAACCGATTTGGTGATTTTGTTTCTTCCCCTTAAGCAAATTAAACAAGAAAAGGTTGATGTTTTTGTACCTGCACTTGTGTTGCAGCTACTAGCGGACCAACTACACGGCCACCTAAAATCCGGCCCTCGGGTCCAGCCACAGCCACACTCAAGCTACCACTTCTGTTAACGGAACCATTTACTTCATAATTTAAGAAGGAGCCTGAGAGTGTAATGATTTCGAACCGTCCCTGCAAAAGAAGAACACATATACAAAATCTCAACACTAAAGACACAGATACATGCTTTAGCACTAAAGTGAAGAGCATGTTTTGGAACCTCGTAAGTATCACTTGCACCAGGATTAGAAGCTTGGCGAAGCGTCATAGTAGAAACTGCGCCACTTGCAGAGAGAATACAGATTGTTCGTGGCCCTTGATCCGAAAAAGCCATCACCTTCGACGCTATGTCCTGATTTAGCAAACACAAACAACATTACTCGCAAAAATCATTCTTCCATCTAATTCACTGAAAAACAAGATCTTTACTACTTCCTCCAAACTTTTTCTAAGTCACTAATCTTGAAGCATTGAAAGAGTTCCAGAATCAATCACATTTTGAGATAATTAAAACAACATACCTCTCCTGTCTTCACTTCAATCACATGAGGTGTAAAACCTACTCCTGCTGTTCCTGAAGCAAAATCCATCAAACCCATCAGATCAATTTGCATGTAATCAGAAACGAATGTGTGTTAAAGATTCGAACTTTAAGAGATGAGATTCAAGTTCTTGTTTTTTTTTTTACCTAAAGCATCAAGCTGTTTCTTGCTTGAGCCAGGAGGTCTTCCTCTGTTACGTTTAGCAGGTGGATCAGCAGAACTCGCATTTCCTCCACCGCCGCCGCTATCTCCGACGCCGTCACCGCCACCACCGTAGGAATTAGAAGCGGCGGCGAGAAGTGGAGACGTCGGAGCTAAACCTAACCCAATGCTACCATCAGGAGCATATTTCCTTGGCCTTCCTCGCTTCTTCTTCACTTGCTGCTGTTGAAGTTGCTGATTCTGATTCTGATCGATCCCAAACCGCATCGGCTGAGAAGAAGGCGATCCGTCGCCGAATCCAAGCGACTCGAGCGTTTTCTGATCCATTTGCTGTTGTTGTTGCTGAAGCGTTTGGTGTTGTTGCGGTGCGAGAGAGCCGAAAGGTAGACGGTGATGGATCGATTGAGATGTTGAGGTGGGACCCATTAGTGCGGCGGCGTTAGGGTTACGGTAATGAGGTATTAACATTCCCGGTGGTGGTTGAAGCTGTTGATGCGGCGGTTGTGGGATGTCTCTTGAATCCATTAGAGAGAGAGGGAAGAGGAAGAAGAAATCAAACTCAAAGATTGTTTCTTTCGGCCTAATTTTCGTAGACCCAGATTTCTGATTTCTTTTTTTATTTTTCTGTTTTGCGAATTCCGAGAAAATCGAGTCGAGAAATTGGCGAAGCTTTAAGGTAAAGCGTGTGAGCTAACAACTATCTCACACACACACAGAGTCCGAGAGAGAGAGAGAGAGGGACGAAGTTGTAGCGGAATTTGTAATTTTAATAGAAAAATATAAAATCTTAGTATTTAGGGTTTTCAGGAGATTTTCTGTGTTTGTTTTGTTACTTTAATTTAATTAATATTTAGATATTTAGAGTCCTAGAGACTGAAAGACTCTGATTGGGTATAATACTTCGAGCATTAAAAAAAAAATTATTTTAGAATCTCTTAATTAGATCGTGCTTTGGTTTTATTATCATCCAAAATATAGGAAAGGAAATTTGTCGTCATCCCTTGTTTTACTACGAATTTAATATAATTATTAAAATAATTAAGGATAAAAATATTTTAAGCTACATATCAAATTTGATAGTACTAAAATTTAATCTGCACTTTGTGCAGAGTAATATTTTTTAAAATATTTTTAAATTTAGTTTTAATTTTTTGGTTAAATTAAAATTAATGGTAAAAATTCTTTCATAAAAATATAAATAAAACAATTAGTGACAATTAGATAACATATATAAATATCACACAACCGATATTTATTTCTATATATATATCATCAAATAGAATTTTAAGCTAGTTTTGTTATGTGCTTTAATTATTAATAGGTTTTAAATGTAAAAGTGATATGATGTTAATATTATATATCCATAAAATAAGAATTTAATTGTGAATATTTTATCAAAGATCAAACTATCATTTTTAGTTAATAAATTATATAATATGTGTTAATAATAAATATATATAAATTGTTAAATTGGAAAAATTATTCTATTTAATCTATTTTGTAATTTACTAAAATATTATTTGGATCAATTCGTAAAAAAATATAATTTAAAATTTAAAAAAATATTTTATTTTTTATATAAATAACTGAACTGATTTTCAAAAATAATACTAATTAATTATGAACATAAAAATGAAAAATATTATAAAAGTCTAAATAAATTATTTTCATATATAGGGATTGATATTATTTAAAATAATAAAACATATTTTACTATTGTAATAAATAAAAAAATTAAAATACACTTTTGATTTATATCCATATATATTCAAAACAAATCTGAGAATTTTATATTTAATTATTTTTTAAAAAGAAATATTTAATTGAGTTTTCTATATTTATAATTTATAAAACTTATTTATGTACTATTTTCTAAGTAAAAATTTATTTATATAATATCTTATAAATATAAATATTTATTTATGTAAAATACTTTGTAATATTTTACAAATAAAAATTAATTACGTAAATATCTATTCAAATAATAATATAGAGATATAATCGCAAAAAGTTTTAGTTATAAAAGTTTTTATTGAAAAATATTGTATTAGTATTAAAATATTGTATTTATATTAGATTTTCAAATTAGTACTTTTCTGTATTTTAGTATTCAAACATTGATAGAAAATTTATTATATTACTAGTAAAAATTGAAAGTAAATATTTTTAAAAATGTTCATATAAAATAAAAAATAATAATTTTATTAGTTTACATTAACATTGAAAATTAAGAAAGTTTATAAATGTTAATATTATTCCTAATAAAATAAATAAAAAAGAATAAAAAATAATGTATCAAATTTTTATTGATTCATCATAATATTGAAAATTAAAAAAATTTCTAAATTCTATTATTGTTTTTAAAATTATTAAAGGTAAGAAAATTATGTATAAAAATTATACTAATAAAAAAAATTAAAATAATATGAAAATAGGAAAATTATAGAAATAAAATTACTTTACATATATATAGAGACTCCTATATCTAAGTTGTTGTCATAAAATAAAATTATAAAAAAATTTAAGTTAATTTTGTGTGTGTGGGTGAAAAACCTAGTATTATAAAAAAGTTATAAACGAAAACATAAGCCTTTTTTATTCCGGCGTCTCGCTTCTTTTCCGTTTTGCTATTGCCTTTACAGAGGTAAGAACTTTCCTAAATCTCTGAATATTTGTTTCTCAGGAATACGGATTGTTTAATCATCGGGTTGTTGATTAGGTTATGGGTTTTCTCTTAGGAAAGGCGAAGCTTGAGCAACGGACAAGTCTACTTCTTATGTGTGGGTCGCGAAGAGGTGTAGCGAGATTCGTGGGTTTTATCAATTTCTGGTAAAATCAAGCTCCCAGCTTCCATATTTCTCCTGAAAATTGCTGATTTTTCCTTTGGTTCTTTGTCCTAAAGTTTCAAGTGTACGCCCTTATGAAGCTTGATGCTTTGACTGTAAGCTGTTTGATTAAATTCCCAAGAGAGCACTGGCTTTGGTTTTAGATTAAAGTTACCCGTTTGATCTCGTAGTAATTCTTTCTTGATTGATAAATGTTCTAGATTTTTGTCTTTGTTCCAGAGTTTTGTCTACATTGCTGCTTGCTCCGGTGGTGTTATTTTTTGGGGAAATTTAAAGAAACATGGAACTCAACAAGGAAGACAATGTTTCATTGCCACCACCAATGGCTCCAATACCAATGGCTCCACCTCCAGCTACCCGTCCACCAACTTTTAGGCCACAAAATGGTGGAGAAAAATCGAGTGAATCGGATTCGGAATCAGAGGATGAACATTATGAGATATCTGAAGAGAGTAGGCAGGTCAGAGAAAGACGAGAAAAGGCACTGAAAGACATGCAGATAAAACGTCGTGCTGCTGCTCTCGCAGTTCCAACGAATGACAAAGCTGTGAGGGATCGCCTTAGACGACTTGGTCAGCCCATTACTCTGTTTGGAGAACAGGAAATGGAGAGAAGAGCTAGGTTGGCTCAGCATATGGCTAGGCTTGATATCGATGGCCAATTGGATAAACTGCTTAGAGCTCACGAAGAAGATATCGCTCCTCCAAAAGAGGAAGTGGATGATGAAATACTTGAATACCCGTTTTTCACTGAGGGTCCAAAGGAACTAAGAGAGGCTAGAATTGAAATTTCCAAATTTTCTATCAAGAGAGCTGCTGTCAGAATTCAGCGTGCAAAGCGTCGAAGGGATGATCCAGATGAAGATATGGATGCAGAGACTAAGTGGGCTTTGAAGCATGCTAAAGGCATGGTCCTTGATTGCAGTAATTTTGGGGATGATCGTCCTCTTACCGGCTGCTCCTTCTCACGCGATGGGAAAATACTTGCCACATGGTACATCTCTCATCTATCTCTTTCTCACTCTCAAGCACAAATTTACATATTTTTTCACATTCAGTTTCTTAGGCTTGGATCTATTTTTTGCTCATCTCTATTCATTGATTACAGTTTCATGGAATATTTTGCATTCTACCTGCATATTCGTTTCCGTTGATATATCAGCTTTGTCCCTTCTAAATGCATTTCACGTTCTCTAGATTCATGACTTGTGTGATTCACATACTTCCTCTACTGTATAATAATTCGTGGGTTTTTCTTTGTCTAGTTCTCTGAGTGGAGTTACTAAATTGTGGGAGATGCCTCAAGTTACAAACAAGATTTCTGTCTTGAAGGATCACAAAGAACGTGCAACTGATGTAGTGTTCTCCCCTGTGGATGATTGTCTAGCAACTGCTTCTGCTGATCGAACTGCAAAGTTGTGGAAAACTGATGGAACACTCGTACAAACTTTTGAAGGTCATCTGGATCGTCTTGCACGCGTTGCCTTCCACCCATCAGGGAAGTACCTCGGAACAACAAGCTTTGACAAAACATGGAGACTGTGGGATGTAAACACTGGAGCAGAGCTGCTTTTGCAAGAAGGTCATAGTCGTAGTGTCTATGGAATTGCATTTCAACAAGATGGAGCATTAGCAGCTTCTTCTGGGCTTGATTCACTCGCACGGGTTTGGGATCTCCGCACTGGTAGGAGTATTCTCGTCTTCCAAGGACACATTAAACCGGTAAGACTCAAGTTTTGTTCTATTGTTCCTCTTCCTCAGGCAAAAGTGATAATTTTTACTAACCCTTATTTTAATCTCCTCTGTTGTTTATAGGTTCTCTCAGTGAATTTCTCTCCTAATGGTTATCACTTGGCATCTGGTGGTGAGGATAATCAATGCCGTATTTGGGATCTAAGAATGAGAAAGTCATTGTACATTATACCAGCTCATGCTAACCTTGTGTCTCAAGTCAAGTATGAACCACAAGAAGGATACTTCCTAGCCACTGCCTCATACGACATGAAAGTCAATGTAAATACTTTTGCAATCCCTAGCCCTAATTATCTTTTTTAATCTTCTGTGTTTCATTTACTTAATTCTTTCTAACATTTTCTGTTGCAGATATGGTCAGGCAGAGATTTCTCGCTTGTTAAAAGCTTAGCAGGGCACGAGTCAAAAGTCGCCTCTCTAGATATCGCTGCAGATACCTCCTGTATTGCTACTGTTTCACATGACCGCACCATCAAGCTTTGGACGAGCAGTAGCAACGAAGAAGACCAAAGCGGAGATATGGACATAGATCTCTAGTATAGCATAACAAAAGACATAAATTTTTTGCAAGTTGAGTTATTGCAAGATGTTATGTATTATGAACCTATGTTAACCAAACATGATTTTGTTTTAACATTTTTTAGATATTTAGTGTTATTTGTCATGAGATTAGTAAGACTCGCAATTTATTTTTTAAAGTTATTGAACTGGTATCAATTTTTTTTTAACAACATCAAGATGCTTTGATGTGTAAAATACTTCGATGGTATCCAACAGTCATACATTCTATTTAAAGATCAAGTAAACTTTTTTTGGGGTATGTTATGAACAAAATAAAAAAAGCTTATAGTCAAAACTAAAAATACTTTGATATGTCAAACTTTAAAATATATCCATAAACATTCTAAAAGCAATTATTTTATCATTTTGTGACTTTCGTCTTTGTATTCCCATTTCCCTCCATATATCATAGTTCAAAAAGAAAAAATCTTAGTAGTTAGTACTCTTAAAAAACTTTAAATTATGTAACTTCTTACACAAGAACATATCCTCAATGATTAGAAAAATTACGTAATTTGGAAAATTTGCAGATAATGTGATACAATAACAGTGATGGCTTAAAATTAAATTTTAAAAATCATTTTTTTTCATAATCTGTTATTAGTCTTATCCAAAGAAATCCGACTGCTTTCACAAATACTCAATATCACGTTCGATTACACCAAAATTAATCTAAACTAAAACTCGTACAGAATCTTAAACAGAGTAGGAAAAAAAAAATCAGAATTCAATACCAAATGAGGACATAAGAAATCATATTAACAAAAGATATCTCTAATGAACAAAACAAACATAAACGAGATATAAAAACATATTAACTCTTTCCTTATGTTTTGCTTAAGGGACAAAAGCTAGAAGCCATGAACACCTCAAGGTCTTGTCACTGAACCTGAAACTGTGTTTTAAGCTCAGCACCTGATCTCATAAGATCCAGCTTTCGTTATGTATCGAACCCACTCCACCGTGTTGTAACCGCTCTTCTCCCAAACCTGTCAATCATTTCAAGTTACGGGTCAGGTCGAACTTTCAATAGCTAACCAAGTAAAGCGATCAACATTTTTAAAGACCAGAAGCAAATGAAGAAAACCCAAATCACATAAAAGATTTCATAAATTAGATGGCACAATGGCATGGAGATTCCGTTACGTAGCAACACATTTATCGGAAGCGTACCTTGAGAAAGCGAACTCGCAAACCAGATGCTGTGAACATTGGTACCTGGAAATAGAACGAAACTGAGAGGGTTAACAATCGCTTTAAACAATCTGGTTCGATTTAACAATGCCAACAAGAGAAGAAGATTGACCTGAAATTCCATTTGAATTGGTGGCCTGGTCCAAGATTTCTTTTCTCCCATTGTTGAGATCAACTCAATTTCTGCACTTAATGTGGACTCTGTTTGTCCTGGGAATTTTCTTATCCTATAGAGATTAAAGAGAAGGAAAATGAATGATAAAACACCAACTAATGGAATTTTAGAGATGAAATCTGACGGATATATCTTAAAGATGGTATAAACTCACTTCCAAACCAAGCAATCGATTGATGGATTGTACTTAGCGCGACCAGTTGTCACTTGGAAATTTGTCTTTGCTGTTTGTTTTGGCACTGGAATTTTCACTACGACCCCAAGGGCAAACATTTTAGCACCAAACACACTTTTGACCTGAAAGGACAAAACACAAAAACGAATTGTAAGTGAGCAAAGAGCAAGTTGTTCTCTTTTTTTCCTTCCTTAATCTTTGAGAAGAAAAGCTATGTACCTTGACATTCACTTCCATGCGTGTACGACCAAGTTCTTTGATTGTTGGTAATACGCGGAAAGGCAGATTCACACCTTCTGTTATTCGGTACCTGAGACATCATCATGTCAGTACACTTGGGTACCAGAACAATGTGCAACAGTGAACATTCCAAAACTTACTTCATCAGTTCAAATTCACCATCCGGTGGTACGAAGCTAACTGTCTTCTCAGAGTTGAATCTTGTCAGGTTCACACACTGGTGAAATGTGACATCATCAAGCTCAATGGTTTTACCACTGCACAACAAGATTTAGTCAGTGAGCAAAAGAAGCGTCAGTGGCTAGTGTGGATCACTCGTTTAAGAAAACTTACCTTTTAGCTGGACGAGATTTCATTTCTGATTCCTTCTCAAGACCAATTTTATCATTCAACCCCAACTTCAAATCAGGCATTCCCGAAAGGAAACATTTCATTAAGACTTTCCCCGTCACATCACACCGGAGAACATTGCCTAACAGTTGCAAAAATGTGCAAAAACAGTCATACAAGATAATCAGGAAGACAGAAACCTTTTATAGAAAGAAAAAAAAGCAATTGGTTACCTTTAGAGGACATAAGAAGGTTTACACTTTCCACAATATCCAGAAACACCTGCAGTAGTGAGAATGCCTAATATCAACATTTCCGTACAATCTAGCAAATGAAATACACACAAAACTTAACTCAACTCTTACCTCATTCTTTTTATACGCAAGGCCCTCTCTTCTCCAACCAACAGCACCCGTAACTTGTAATGTTGCATTTGGAACAGGCTTATCTTTTGGCTGTTTTCGATTTTTTTACACATGAAAAGAAACTTATGAATGAAAACATACAAAGCAAAAAAAAGCTCACTTGCAAGCACCATACAGCAATACAATTCAAAATCTGTTGTATACAAAGGTGAGCATATGCCTTTACCTTTGATGAAAATGGTGACCGTACACCTTCCTGAGTAATGTAAAGTTTCAAAATTTCAGGTGAGAGATTTTGTGGATAGCCAAAGTCCATGATCTCTGCAATTCCATACCAAAATATCATTGCTTGATGTTGCAAGAAAAAACTAGAACAATAATCAACGGGGATTTGATAATGATACTACAAAGCCTTACTTACCATCCAACAATTCATAAATCAGAACAAAGTTATTTCTAATAGCGTCTTCATCAAAAGCTCCACCAAAGTATGATTTGAACAAAGCAACAGCCTAAATGTGTGAATCAAAAGCAGTAGTAACTAAGTCAGATTTGTATAGAATCAAAACTATATTTGGGAAATGCAAGTGAAACAAAAACACCTAAGTTTTTTTTACCTCAACAACGAATTTGAACCCACAAGCTACATTAGCATTGCTACTGACAACAATTACGATGTAGACATTGCTGATTCGCATATAGACAAAGGAGCAGCCACCAATCTGACGCACAGGACAATTCCCTAACTCCTTGGTCTGCATTATATGTGTCCGAAATGCATCCACCATATTTCCCCTAATAATTAAAAATGAATTATATTCAGCTCGAATCCATCAAATCAGAAATCTCAATCCTACGAAGTGAACTACTTAGAAGCGATAGAACAAAACACACAGCTGAAAAATGTAGTGAAAAATTCTCAAATCCTTAAAAGACTAAATTAAAATTTCGAAGCATTTGGAGCGGAAAATGTGAAAATAGAAAAGCTCTCTAACCCGACGTCATCTCGGTATGTGCGATTAATGAGTACATCGCCACGGAGATTTAGAAAGTAGATAGCGGAAGCAGCCACAGGCATCTTCGATCCAAGCGAATCGAGACGCAGATCGAATAATCTTCCGTCGAATCCGATAATCAGACGAGCTGATTTCCGTAGATTTTGAGATTCAAAACGGAGGTTCGACGAGATCTCGGAGTCGGAAGAAGGACGAAGACGACGACGAAATTGAACAACTGAGATAGAAAGGAAAAGATTATTTTATCTAAAATGGAGATTGAAAAATGTATTCGTGGTATTGAAATGGGCCGTGCTAATAAAAATGGGCCTATCTTACACTTTTTATTGTTTTTTTCCCGCAAATTGGGATTTTACCAATGTTTTGTAACCCGGACAGATTGGTAAATCCAGGATGCGGTCACTATTCCAGTTTGGGTTTAGTATTAAAACCCGCTAGTTATTCAACCAGTAAAATTTAGAAAAAAACAATCCAGATAACCAGCCGGATACAAAATAATTAAAACTTTTCAAAATAACAAAAATAAATAAAAAGATTTTTGGAATTGAAACATAGAATTTACAATTTATTCACTCAAATTGCGACTAGAAAAAACCTAAAATATGTTTATATCTTCAACTTTTTTCAAATTTCTCTTTGTCTTTATATATAATTAATTGTTCACTTCAATTGTTTCATATCATTACTTCATATCGTTACATAATTAATTAATTCATATAGTTGCTTTTCTTTAATTAATGAGTCATTGCTTTTGAAAATTTGTTATTGTATTTTTTGTAATATTTTTATCATGTGTCATTGAAATATGTATGCATTTTTTGTGCAATAATATTTTTTTAACAAAATATAGATATTTTTATTCTTATATTAATATATTATATACAAATTTATTAAGTTAATGCAAGAGCTGAGGAAAGACTGGAAGAGAAGAAACAATATTGAGGTTAGTGAACCCGTGGTTGGCGGCCAAACTCTAAGGAAGGAATTAGCTGCAGCTAGGAAGGTTAAAAGGCAAGAGAAAAAGTTGCAAAAAAAAAAGCTCGAGCTGCTGAAGAGTATGCTAAAAAGGCAAGGGAAGAAACAGATGAAGCAGCAGAAGCAGTTAGAAAGGCAGAGAAAGCAGCTGCTGAGCAGGAGAAATCAGAAGTAGCTAGAAAGGCAGAGCAAGCAGTACCTAAAGCTGAAAAAGGTAAACAAAGAAGCTCATATGATGTGAATGATGTTGTTGAGATATGATATTTGATGTTGTGCTCCTGTTTCTTCAGGGAAAAATCTCAGTGAATGCGGACCAAGAAGTTGCTGTGAAGGACGAAAAAGAGGTAAACGGAGAAGCTGATATGATAACCATGATGTTTCATGATGTTGTTGATGTGATGTTGTGCCCCTGTTTTTTCAGGGAAAAATCTCTGCAGACCAAGAAAAAGAAGCTTTTGTGAAAGATGATAAAGAGGTAAAGGGTGAAGCTGATATGATGAGCATGATGTTTCATGATTTTTTTGAGATATGATGTCATTGATGTGATGTTGTGCTGCTGTTTTTTCAGAACCTTGACAGAAAAATCTCTGCGGACAAAGAAGCTGAAACAGTGAATGGTGAGACTTAAAAGAAAGAGGTAAAGACTAAGCTGATACGATGAGCATGGTGTTGTTGACATATGATGTGGTTGATTTGATGTTGTGCCCCTGTTTTTTTCTCAGGGAGAAACCACAAAGAATGCTGCGGACCAATGAAAAAGAGCTGCTCTGAATGATGAGAAAGAGGTAAACGGATATGATTGAGCATGAAGTTGTTGATATATGATGTTCTTTTCTTTGATGTTGTTCTACTGTGTTTTTTTCAGGATCTTGTCTCAGCCCTTGAGGATCTATACTCTTACCTCGAAGGAGAGCTCGAGACTGTCAAGATAGCACTTGCAATAGCCAGAGGAAACTGAAACTCCTCTGTAAGTAACCTTTAATGAACAGCTCTCACAAGAATCCTTATAGAGATTTCAATGTTGATAATTGCCTCTGTGAGCTGCTATTAAATTCATGAAATATCTCTCTAGTGTTACTGATTTCAGCTGAGTGGTGGTTGCTCATGCACTCTTGTTTATGAATGCAGGGGTTATGCCGTGTGTCGATGGGGACGATTCAAGACTGTGCGTCTGATTGTTGGTTTTTCTACGAACTTCTTTGACCAAAAAGCAAACTTTTAGAGGCTGCGGATTTTTAGATTGTTGTTAATAACCAAACTGTTTTTTGTTTTTCTCTTGCAAAGCTTTGATTTCAACTGTCCTGATACATCCTTGAGTCAAGAACAGTCAGAGTCATAGAGTTTATATACTATCCAATCAAACTTTAAGATCGAAGGCATGTTTTTAGGTAATCATCAAAGTGGCTTACCAATGTGGTAATGTTTTCTAGAATAGGAGAGCCTGAGATGTGCTTCTCCATAATCCAAAGACCATCATCATCACTCATGTAATCCATATTACAGAGACTACCACCACTTCTGTAATAAATTGTTTTCTAGATACAAATTAAAAACATAGAAATACATGTAATCCATATTAAAACAACAAAAAGAAACGAAGACAAGTTGCAAATTGAACTAGTTAATAATCAACTTTCTTCACCTCGTCGATGAAAATTTTTGCAGAGTTCGGAAACAACAGCAACTTTCTTCACCTCGTCGATGAAGAAACTCCCAGCCACAAAAATAGAGTACGGTCTCATCATATCCACTCTCAAAATTAGATTTTAGACTCAGAAAGGCGTAAATTGGGATTTTACTGAAATCACATTGTAAAAAAGTAGAAAACTTTCCACCTATAATGTAAACTTTAAATACGTTATTCATTTTATCTGGAAATTGCTTTTTGTTATTGTTTTGATTGATCAGCAGATTCACCACAATAGACTAAAAGTTCTTGACTTTTGATAGTTATCAATTGACCCGGAATTTCAGCTTTGAATAAAACTGCAAACTCTAGATGTTCTGATTGTTGTAAGTGGGCTGAGCACAGCCCCCTTTTTCGTAAATCCACAAAAAGCCCATTAAGGTCAAAGGTCAACAAGCCCATTCGCGAAGAGCAAAACGAGGTCGTTCGAGTAGATAACCCAACAAAATCTAAGGAGCAGCTCGCCACGTCGATATGGATGGGACAGCTCGCCACGTCGACAAGGATGAAATAGCTCGCCAGCACGACGCTCCGATAGACGGTCGGTCAGGTCTATCTGCCCGGCCGCCAAGCTACTCTGACCGAGATGTAACCTAATTTAAGCACTATAAATAGCCCTGTAACTTCATTTATTACGGGATCGGTAATCCGAAATAAAGACAAAAATACTCAAGACTTCATACTTACTTAACCTCGTAATACCACCTCGAAGACTTCATATCGATCTCACCTCTATTCAAACAAGAATCTCCGAGCTCCACCTAGAAATATTTACCAAAGTGACCTCGCGTGCGAATACAATACAATAATTGGCGCCCACCGTGGGGCTAAGAGATTTCTTTCTACGCAAAGAGGAGCTCGATAATGTCAGGAATTCAAATCAACAAAACAACTAACCTACCCATGTCAACTATTGCCGAGGAAGGACTTCTTGTGTCACCAGTTAACAATCCGGAGACCTCGAATAAGCAACCACCAACGATGAATCCCATGGAAAACGCAACTTCAAACCCAGAAGCAGAAGATGCGAATCGAAGCACACCAACAGCTCCTACCGACGTCGCAACGTTGTTCGCAACAATGATGGCTCGAATGGAAGAGCTGAATCGTCAAACAAGCACTCGCCTGAACGAGCTCGCCGCGGCACAACTTTCTTGCCAAGATCAAGTCAACACGTTACATTCCTCAGAGACCCAAGCCCCAGAGAGACGATCTCAAGAAATTCAATGAGTACAACGCGCCTTATTCGGAGACTCCCCCGCTCCGCCAACAACAGAAAATCATCCGACCTCGAACTGCGACGAGGTGAACATCGGAGCTCCCGAACACGAAACACGTCGGCTTCAGATAAGAAACTCGCAGCAGGATGAAGAAATGCTCGAAATGAGAGCCAAATTGCGAGCCATGACTTCACTTGTTCATCAAGCAACTAGCTCGGCACCTGAGATCGATCGTGTGTTGAAAGAAAGCCAAAGCACACCATTCACGACTCGAATCACCGATTTTCCAATTAGAACTCAAGTAAAGTTCAACCTCCCGACATATACAGGCAACTCGGATCCGAGTCAATTCATGACCGCATTCAGCATTCAAATGGGCCGAGCACGATTCACTCCCGAGGAGAAGGATACAGGTTTCTGCCAACTATTCGTCGAAAATCTAAGCGGCGCGGCCCTCGTCTGGTTCTCCAAATTGAAGGTGAACTCGATTGACAGCTACCAAGCACTGTCAACGGCATTCCTCAAAAGGTACATGATGTATATCCAAGGCGCAGTTTCCAGCGCCGACCTCTACCAGATCAAACAGGGCGAAAAAGAATCCCTTCGGTCTTTCATCGGCAGGTTCAACGCGATCGTCTCTCGAATCACCGTGACTGACGAGGCATCACTGCCAGCCCTTTGGAATGCCCTTCGGATCGGTTCGAAGTTCCGAGACAGTCTCAAGTTCAGCAAACCCCGAACTCTCGAGGACGCACTTCATCGTGCCACCTTATACATCGAGGACGAGGAAGAAAAAGAGAGCGCGTCGCCAGCAAAAGCGACGCCGAAGCAGCAGCCTCACAAAGAGATCCCCAAACAAGAATATCAGGAGCCTCGACAGCACCTCGACAATAATTATCGAGGTGACAATCGCCAAGGAGCGACGTACAACATCAGCACTCAACAGCAACAGAATCGCCAGTACCAAAACTAATCGAACACCTGGCAGCGAGGAGATTGCGGGGAGACACGGCCTTTCTGAGATTATCACAACAAGTACGGTCACCCGACTGCGATGTGTCGCGAGCTACAAGCTTATTTGCTCGCCAAATATCGCAAGGGGGAGATCGTTTTATCAAACCAGCCCCAAAACACCGTGACACGAAACAGCGAGGCTCGACCAACGGCTCCCGCCGAGCAGCTTTCACCTCCTCCCCCAATGAACGAACAACCCAACGACGACGTCGCGAAGAGAGACCGTGGAAACCAGCCTCGAGGTGACACTCCTCCGGCATCTCGAAAGAAGGTTTTCTTTATCATGGGAGGCCTATCGACGTGCAACGATTCCGTCAGGTCGATTAAAAAGTACGGCCGCCAGGTCATGCTCGCACAAAAATGGCAAGTTAAAAGTCCTAAGACCGCCGATTGCGGTGCAGTCACCTTCACCGAGGCCGACACCGAAGGAGTTGACATGCCGCACAACGATCCGCTTGTGGTCGAGCTGCGGGTCGCCGATTGCGAAGTGTCTCGGATACTGGTTGATACAGGGAGCTCGGTCGACCTGATTTTCAAAGAAACACTTGACAAAATGGAACTGGCGAACCATCATCTCAAGTCTTCGGTTAAGCCACTCACAGGATTCGATGGAGATACGGTCAACTCAATCGGGACGATCAGACTCCCAGTTTACGCGGCAAAAACGACCCGCCTCGTCAAATTTGTTGTCATCGATAAACCTGCCATCTACAACGTAATTCTAGGAACGCCCTGGTTGCAATCCATGAAAGCGGTGCCGTCGACTTATCATCAATGCCTCAAGTTCCCAACCGCGTTCGGGGTAAAAACTATTCGAGGCTCTCAGGAGATATCGAGACTCTGATTCGCTGCAGAGCACAAGCTCCGATTCAAATCCACGATTCCAGCCAAGGCGTGTCTCACGATTTTATCCGTAACTCAAGTCGATTTGCCAACTCAAGAAAGACCGAAGCAGGAGCTCGTCGTCCAAGTAAACATCGATGAAAGCGACCCCGAACGATGTGTAGGAATCGGAGCCGATTTAAAGGAGGAGATCAAGGTTGAGCTCGTACGACTTCTTCGCCGAAACGCGTCGACGTTCGCCTGGTCAGTAAGCGATATGCCAGGGATCGATCCCTCAATCACCAGTCATGAGCTTAACATCGACCCAACCTTTAAACCGATCAAGCAGAAGCGGAGGAAGTTAGGTCCAGAAAAGGCGCAAGCCGTCAATGACGAGGTCGAACGTCTATCAAAGGCTGGCTCGATTGTCGAGGTTAAATACCCCGAGTGGTTAGCCAACCCGGTCGTCGTCAAAAAGAAAAATGGGAAGTGGCGAATTTGCGTGGATTTCACCGATCTCAACAAGGCATGCCCCAAGGATAGTTTCCCCTTGCCACACATCGACCGAATCGTCGAGACAACCGCCGGAAACGAGCTCCTGTCGTTTATGGACGCCTTCTCCGGTTACAACCAAATCACGATGCATCCCGAAGATCGCGAGAAGACGTCCTTCATCACCGATCGAGGTACCTATTGCTATAAGGTAATGCCGTTCGGCCTGAAGAACGCGGGCTCGACATACCAACGACTAGTCAACCACATGTTCGCCGAGCAGTTAGGACGAACAATGGAGGTCTACATCGATGATATGCTTGTGAAGTCACTCACCGCCGGTGATCACATCGCCCATCTGCAAGCTTGCTTCACCGTTCTAAATCAATACCAAATGAAGCTCAATTCGACTCAGTGTACCTTCGGGGTAACTTCTGGAGAATTCCTCGGCTACATCGTCACTAAACGAGGAATCGAGGCAAATCCGAAGCAGATCGATGCCCTGATCAGTCTTCCATCGCCTCGCAACACTCGCGAAGTCCAACGTCTCACCGGCCGGATCGCGGCGCTTAACCGTTTCATCTCTCGATCGACGGATAAATGTTTGCCTTTCTACCAGCTCCTCCGAGGCAACAAGCGTTTTGAATGGGACAGCAAATGCGAAGAAGCTTTTCAACAACTCAAGGAATACCTCGCCAGCCCTCCAATTTTGGCAAAACCGGAAACAGGCGAAACCCTCTACCTCTACATCGCGGTGTCGAGCTCGGCGGTTAGCGGCGTCTTGGTCAAAGAAGATCGAGGCGAGCAGAAACCGATCTTCTACGTTAGTAGGACTCTCGACGACGCAGAAAAACGGTATCCAACTTTGGAGAAGCTCGCACTCGCGGTCATCATATCCGCCAGAAAGCTACGACCCTACTTTCAATCCCATTCAGTCGTTGTCTTGACCAATCAACCGCTTCGAACGATACTGCACAGCCCGAGTCAATCAGGTCGCATGGCAAAGTGGGCTGTCGAGCTAACGGAGTACGATATCGAGTATCGCAATAAAACAAGCGCCAAATCGCAGGTTCTCGCGGATTTTTTGGTCGAGCTTCCTCCAGAGCTAATCTAGACCGACCTACCTGATGAGAGGTGGTCCTTGTACGTCGACGGATCTTCCTCAACTCGAGGCGCAGGTATAGGCATCCGCCTAGAATCTCCGACGAAAGAGATATTGGAGCAATCATTCCGGCTCGAATTTCCAGCCTCCAATAATGAAGCAGAGTACGAGGCTTACTCGCAGGACTACGTCTAGCGCAAGGAATCGGGGTCAAAAAGATCGAAGCTTTCTGCGACTCCCAGCTCGTTGCCAGCCAATACAGCGGCGACTACGACACCAGAAACGACCGGATGGACCTGTATCTTAAAGCCGTTAAGAGCCTCGCCAATCGCTTCGAATTTTTCTCACTCACTAGAATTCCGCGCAGCGATAACACTTCGGCAGATGCACTAGCCGCCCTCGCATCGACGTCCGAACCACATCAACAGCGCGTAATCCCGGTCGAGAGCATCGATTCCCCCAGCATCGTCTTACCTGGAGGAGTATGCGCGGTTCGAGAGCTCAAAGCCAACAGATTAGACGCCATCGAATTATCTCCCCCCGAGGTCATAGATGAGCCCGCCGAGCAAGAACCAACAACCGAGGACTGGAGGATTGAAATCCTGCTCTACATTACGGACGGCCAAGTCCCAGACGATCGATGGGCAGCAAGGCGTTTAAAAGTTCGTAGCGCTAAATACACTCAGTCACACGGCGATCTTTATCGTTGGAGCTCGACAGGCGCTCTACTCAATTGTCTTCACGGTGAAGAGACGCTCGATGTCATGCGAGAAACACACGAAGGAGCATGTGGAAATCACTCCAACGGTCGAGCTCTCGCCCTAAAAATCAAAAACCACGGTCATTTTTGGCCGACAATGCTTACCGATTGCGATCGGTTCGTAGCTCGCTGCGAGCAATGCCAACGACATGCACCAATGATCCACGCACCAGCCGAACTTCTGGCTGCATCTTCACCACCTTATCCCTTCATGAGATGGGCAATGGACATCGTGGGTCCACTACCTCGATCCCGACAAAAACGATTCATGCTTATCGTCACTGATTATTTTACGAAATGGGTCGAGGCCGAGTCCTATGCCAAAATCAAAGCAACCGACGTGAAGAACTTCGTCTGGAAAAACATCATATGCCGTCACGGACTGCCCTACGAGATCGTCACCGATAATGGTCCCCAGTTCATCTCCGATGTATTCGAAGACTTCTGTGCCAAGTGGAAGATACGACTTAGCAAATCTACACCGCGATACCCGCAAGGGAACGGACAAGCCGAGGCGACCAACAAGACTATCCTCGATGGCATCAAAAAGCGACTCGAGGATAAGAAAGGCTTGTGGGCAGATGAGTTAGACAGAGTTTTATGGTCACATCGAACTACACCGCGGAGATCGACGAACAAAACTCCTTTCTCATTGTCACATGGCATGGAAGCTTTGGCTCCTGCCGAGGTCGGTCTACCAACCATTCGCAGAGCGATGTTGACACAAGACACAAAAAAGAACGGAAGAATGATGAAGGATAGCCTCGATATGATCGAAGAGGAGCGGGATCACGCCCTGTTACGTATGCAAAATTATCAGCAGCAAATCTCACGATACTACAACAAACGCGTGAAAGGAAGGCACTTCGAACCCGGCGACCTCGTCCTTCGAAAGGTGTTCGAAAACACCGAAGAATACCATGCCGGAAAACTAGGCGCAAAGTGGGAAGGCCCTTACCAAATCACCAACGTCGTGAAACCTGGCGTTTACGAGCTGATGACGATGGACGGCGAAATGCTTCCTCGATCTTGGAACTCGATGAACCTCAAACGGTACTTCTATTTAAAAAAAAAAAAAAAAAAAAAAAAAAAAAAAAGGACGCTCACCAAGCTATACTCGGTCGAGCTATATCTCGAATGTGAACTACGATCGGCTTGATCCCAGTTTGTTGGGTACGTAGGCAACCTCTCACGAGGTACAGCTATTAATAAAATTTTACTTCGACATCTTTAACTTTGCCATCTTTTACATCGACATCCTAGCTAGATGTTCGATCTTCTAATACGCATTTCCCTACAATGCAAACTCTTAATAAATCCTAAGGAACAAAAACCTTACGATTATAAGAGAATAAGCCGGGACCAATCCCGCATCCTTTCCTAAATCACCCGAATAACTACGTCGAGATCATTCTCACTATTCGGGCACGATTAGTGAAATAAAACAGGGTAAGCCGAGTCATACCTCGCACCTATTGTCTTTTAAGCCGAGTCATACCTCGCACCTATTGTCTTTTAAGCCGAGTCATACCTCGCACATATTGTCTTTTAAGCCGTCGTACCTCGCACCTCGCATTCGTTGTTCCCTTAATTTTATCTCGCATTAATTATCTTGTTAAAAAGATTTCCTATTCACCTCGGTCTAATTTTCGAAACAAGTCTTTACCTCGTATTAATCATTTTGCTTTATTTAAATCTACCTCGGGTTTATTATCTTTTTATTGCGAGCTGATACTTTGGAAAAGAGTATTCATTGATGAGATTAAGTCGAGTCTTTACAAACGAGGCAACATAACAAAATAATAATAAGTAAAAAGAAAAAAGGTGATAACACATAAGGGAAAGATATGTGAGATCTACTCGTCAGGCTGATTGCCACCCTCTCAGTCCTCTTCATCCTCGTGATGCTCCTGATCCTCAGCCTCGTCATGAGTTGAACCACCGTCCAGAGTCTCGGGGTATTGCGGGGGCATGTCGCCTTCCTGAAGATCAGATAACCGAAGTCCTTCGAGTTTCAGCTCGCAGTCGCGCATGGTCGCCTCGAGATCAGCCCGCAACTCGACTTCGGTCATCTCTTTGTCCTTCAAGAGATCGAGGCATTCGTGAGTACCTCGAGCCTGAACAAGTTCTAACTTCACCTTCACGATGGCCTCCTGTTCAGCGATAAAGGTCCTCAATCGATCTATGCGACCCGAGAACTTGTTCTCCGCATCTACCCAAATCCGAGTAGTCTCGGATTCTATCTTCTCCTCGGCATGACGCTTGACGCGAGCCACTTCGGTCGCAACCACTTTCTCAGCCTGGAGCTTCGCTTCATTGACCGTTTGCAGGTTGCTGATCAGATCCTGATTTTCCACTTTCAGCTCTTCGATCTTGTCAGTCAGCGTCTTCACACCTTCTTCCAATTGCTCGGAGCATCTTTTTTCGACCTGCCATTTCTCCTCAGCCGACTTTCGTTGAGCAGACGCAGCGTCGCGCTCTTCCACAGCCCTCTGCACAGCGGACTGAGCATTACGAAGCTTCGTAGCAGCAGCTCGAAGTGTTCGGTGATATCGACCACGCGCGCGGTTACAGCTCGCGATGAACTGATAAAACGTAAGTTAGATCGAGATCGAAGCAGAGGTAAAACTTAAGTCAGAAATATGAAACAAAATTCACAACATACCTTGAAGGCGTAGCCCACCATGTCTTTAAAGACCGCGTCATCAGCAGCGGGAACCTCGGAGGTAGACCCCTTTATCAGTCCGAAGAGCTCGGCGCATTTGTCAGCATTATTGACAAGAGGCACCCCGGATTCAGGATAATCGAATTTGAAGCTCCAATCGACCTCCGGAGCTTTACCGTCGCCGGTGGGGCCAACCTTCGACCTCTTTCCCGGTTCCTCGTGATCGCCGTCTACAACCACCTCGCCAGAGGGTCTCTTCCTCGATCTGACTCAGCGACCTCGGGTTGGTTCACCTCCTCGGCGAGCTGGGCGGTCTCGACCTCATCCTTCTTCTTCTTCTCTCTTCTCCTCTGCTTCTTCGCCTCCTTTCTGGCGCGCCTCGCAGCTTCGTCAGGCCCCTCGGCGACGAGCTGACCTTCCTCTTGAGCCCCCACCTCAGGCTCTGCCGATTGGGCGCGACCTTCAGCGGGACCGCTATCTCGACGAGCCTCGACCTCACTAACTCGAGGTGCCATCACTTGGGTCGAACGACCCGGTTGAGCGGGAGATTCTCGACTTTTATTTCCCCCGCTACTGCGACTGGCCCTGAGCCTCGCAGCAAGACTAGGCGCGTTGACTTGAACTGGAGCCATCGCAATCGCTATTTCCCTTAGAGAATTTTCTCTTCTCCAACTAGCTGGAATTGAAAGAAGCGTTAGACGACATAAAAGCTCGACTTGGAATATCGACGAGGTCGAACTTTACCGTTTGTAATACGAGAAATGGCAGCCTCGACTCTTCGGCGATGAATGTCAGGCCAATGTTGTATCCCAACAGCCCTAATCTTCTGGATATTCGCCTGAAAATCCTCCGGGAAAGCCTCGAGCTGGACGTTTCGGTCTGCCAAAGAAAAACAAGGAAACATCAGCTAAAGAAAGGGAAAACTCGAAATACGACCAAATTAGCGATCTACCGATGCTATGACTCCACTCGTTCCTAAAATTTCTGGTCGTATCGACGACCAACGCCTCGTCCACTTTAGCAAAAAAGAAAGACGCCTCCCAGCTTGGCGTCCTGTTGACGGGATAAACCAAGGAACAGTCTTTCCTAGCCTTTATCGTATATGTGCCCGGGATCGAGTTGTTTTTCTGAACCGTAGTCATCTCTTCGAAGAAACGCCAGTCCACATCGACCCCGACCTCGCTCCCAAATAACAGGGCCGCGACCATGAACCGAATTCCCGCCGGAAGGATTTGCGAGAACGCAATGCCTCGACGATGGACATAATCCGTCAACAACCTCGGCAGAGGCATCCAGAGATGACAAAGGCTGAACCACGCTTCGTAGAGCGTGACCCAACCCACCGGTGCATGCCATGGTCGATCTTCAGGTCCCGGTGCCATCAACTCACCGCGAAAACCGTACCGCAGCTGAAATTCTTCGAGGCGTTGAGCCGTCATCTGTGATGGAATGTGGGCTAGTCGATTCCCGATGGCCCCCTTGCGCTTGGAACCTTTACGTCGAGGTCTGACTTCCTCACTTTGATCTTTTTCCTCACCTTGCTCATCTTCTTCCTCACCCCCTTCGTCGACCTCATCTTCGACGTGCTCAGAAGCCTCCCCATCACGTCGGTCCACCTCGAAAGGAACTATTTGAAGTTCCGTCGTAGCGTCACCTCGCGGAGATGTTCCATTAGAACGAGCCCGATCCGCTAATTCAACCAGCGGAGATTCTCCTCGATCCGATTGGGTGTCGGACCTCGAAGACACCTTGGGAGAGGAGCTAGGGCTCCCAGAGTTTTCCTGTTCAGATCTAGAGCCAGACTCTAAACTAGACTCGATGCGCTGACCCCCCGAAGACATTATTTCGATGTCGGATAATGATGGAAATAAAACAGCGAACGGACGAATTCTAGAGAGAGAAAGGAATTCTAGAGAGAAGGGAGAGCAAGATTACCTTTTGTAAGCGGAGAAGAAAATGAGAAGAAGAGGAGGAGATCATCATATATAAGGAAAGAAAAAGGCGGTTACCGAGAAAAGTAATCATGATCCGGACGCTTCCCATTACTTAATTTAATGACGGATTCCACGCGCTTCCACTCGCAACTCTCCGTGACCCAAGATAACCGTTTCCTTTTGCGACCTTTCGCTAATCAAGACAACCGTTGCTCTTTACAACTCCAAATACCATCTCGATTTTGAAGACCTAACATCGACATCGAGGTCCAAGGAAATGAAAGTTCTCCAGCTCGATGCGTTGAATATCGAAGTAACATCTCCATCAACGGACTGGGGGGGACAATTGTTGTAGGTGGGCTGAGCACAGCCCCCTTTTTCGTAAATCCACAAAAAGCCCATTAAGGTCAAAGGTCAACAAGCCCATTCGCGAAGAGCAAAACGAGGTCGTTCGAGTAGATAACCCAACAAAATCTAAGGAGCAGCTCGCCACGTCGATATGGATGGGACAGCTCGCCACGTCGACAAGGATGAAACAGCTCGCCAGCACGACGCTCCGATAGACGGTCGGTCAGGTCTATCTGCCCGGCCGCCAAGCTACTCTGACCGAGATGTAACCTAATTTAAGCACTATAAATAGCCCTGTAACTTCATTTATTACGGGATCGGTAATCCGAAATAAAGACAAAAATACTCAAGACTTCATACTTACTTAACCTCGTAATACCACCTCGAAGACTTCATATCGATCTCACCTCTATTCAAACAAGAATCTCCGAGCTCCACCTAGAAATATTTACCAAAGTGACCTCGCGTGCGAATACAATACAACACTGATGAAGTAATGAGTCTGAATTTTAAAAAGTCATTTTTTATTTTTATTTTGCTTTTGGAAGAAAACAAAAAATTGATGTGGATATTTTTATTTTATTTATATACCGCGCCGTTAATGAAGATGGCTTTAGACTCAGAAAGGCGTTGAAGCTAGAAGAAGATCCTGCTCGATCCATCTTTGATAAAAAAAAATTCTCCATTTTTCTTTAGTGTTCACGAGGGAGAGGACAGAGATTAATGGGTTTTGATAATTAACAGGTATGGATGTTTTTGGATTGAGACGCGATCGCGGAAAGTAGAAAAATCGATCGGAAAAAAAAAAGAAAGGCAAGGAAGGGATATTCGAAACCCTAATCTCGATTGTATCCCTCAACATCTGGGAAAGCATCGATTGTGGGGAGGAAAAAAAAGTTAAGAGCTTTGCATCGAATTTGATTTTCTGGGTTTGGCGTGATGGGTTTCATAAAGAAGTTAACGGGGATTTTTGGGTTCGGGCACAACGATGGTGGGCACGGAGTTGCGAGAGATGGAGATGGTAACGGAGATAACACAGGAACAGTCTCCGGCGACGGAGATAAACGACGGGAGGATAATCAGCCGCGATTCCGTGAAACCGGACTTCCAAGGAGAGGTTTTGGCGTACCGGTTCAAGTCGCCGTTGAACGGTCAAATCCTGGTCCTATTCTTCAGCCTTGTGCAGCTTCTGACGGTGGAGTTCAGGTTAGTCTTTCGTATTTGATGATTGTTGGTTTAATCCCTTAAAAGAGAGCATGAGAATATTTGATTCTGATTCTGAGATATTGGCTTAAGCTTTATGGAGAAGTTTAATGTGTTATATCATACTTTAGTTTAGTGCTTCCTTCGGTAGCATGATTTGTTGGTTCAATGTGTTTGTTTCCGATCACACTTAGTCGGAGGCTAAAATTGTTTTGTGAGTTTGTGAAGAGATAACACACTCGTATTCTTTGCTTAACGTTGATAGAACAATGAACCCTGTTCTACACATGTCTCTGCTTTGTTTGTTTCTTTGGCATGGCTCGAAATTGGCTTTCAGTATGTTTCTGTTTCGAAAACTCTACTTTATATTATTCTGTTGATGGGCACGCGACTGTCGTTTCTGTGTAGTTTTCGCCTAAATATTGAATTAGGTGTGTTTATGATAGTTGGTTCATTGTCTCTTTTAACTCTGTATATTCATCTCTGTATGTGAAACTAGTGAATCTGTATCATCTCTGTATGTGAAACTATCGTCCTTGAAAGATTATGCCAAGCCACGGTATATGTTTGCTTGATTAGTTACGGTAAACCAAAGTCTGTAGAAGCAAGCAAGTTGATTCAGTATCACTCTACTAGGGAAGTTATAATCTAGCAATAGCATAATCTCATGTCCTGATGGTTAGGTATTCATCATCACTCCTGAGGCTAAGATAGAGCTTAAAGAAACTTAATTGGTAAATATTGGTGGGGAAGGACAATAAATAGAATCTATAAAAAGCTAGTGGAGTTGATTGATCCCAAGATTATTCAATTGTCCTAATGCGGTGCTATGTAATTTTTCATTGAGTTCTTTTTGATGGCAATAAGCTAACATCTCAGCATAATCATTGACTCAAGTTGCTTTAACCGAGAATTATAATATCGAAGCTCTTGTTTTGGATCAGGGACTACGTTGGTACTCAACGCAGCTAAGGATTGATGAAGACGGAGATGTTGCAGACGAGTTCTTGGAAGATCATAATTGTAAGACTTTGCCAAGAAGATGCAAAACAAAAGCTGCAAAAGTGAGAGGTTTAGTGATATCTTCTGATGGGAAACTTCAGCCATTAATGCATTGAGCAATGAACAACACCAAGGAGAAAGATTTGCTGAATAGTGTGTGATTGAACCAGAGAAAGGTTAGAACCTGTGTTTCATTAGCCATTTAATCTCGATATAAATCGATTAGATTCTGGTTGTTGACACAATGAAAACTTTGAAAAAATGTTATTTAACTGTGAATTTTGTTTATGAAAAATAGACAGCGACTCTCTTTGGGATTGTCTGAAAACACATACAAATGTGCAATTGTTGGAGCTCTGTAGTAGTACAAGTTCTCTCTGTGGATACATGACCTCCATTTTAGCTAAAATCATGTTTTTTTAATATTCTCATTATGAATTCTATTCCAAGGAATGATGGTTAATATTTTCTTTTCTATATACCAAAGGATTCATCGAAATATCCAAAATAACTTCTCACCCTCTCCAAATATGAGAATTTGCAAACAAGATATATTTTAAAAATATAGTAATAATGCGATGGAGAAATACTTGAAGCTGAAAGCATTGATTAAGGAACTCAGCATTTAAGACCAATAATTTGATGAAAACTATAAGTAATCGTCTACACCGATTCGCCACACCGGAGCAACAACTATCAAATGTCTCTCAACTAACCTTTTGGTACATACAAATGCTTCTGTTCTATAATTCAAATTTAAGACTTTGCTTGACGCTTGAAGATATTACTTTAATGTTACAAATCTGTCCCGAAATTCCGCCGGTGAAAGAAAACAATTTTGGAAAACTTATACATTGAAAAGTATAAAAGTATATATTATACGCAAAACGTGTTAATGTTGGTATCGCTATGAAACAAACAAGGTCCACTTTTGTTGATAGATTTATTTTGGACTTTCTTAGATGCACAAAATATACCTTAACAAAAAAAAAATAGATGCAAAATATACAACAAAATCCCTTAATATCTACAAAACTATAATTTGTCGTACTCCATTGGAAAAGCTTTCATATATTCTTGTAATATTTTCAGGCCGGCGAAAACAGTTTCAAAGGCCTAAGAAAACTAAATTTGCCCTCCTTCTTTTTGTTATTTATAGTTCTCCTCTCTGATTAAGGCCTTATTCACCGACTCGAATCTTTCTCTATAACTACATTTCTCAAGACCTGATCATCTTTGTTTTTACTTCGGCCACCATTAATTACAAAATCCGATATAAAACTTTAGATAAGGCCTTAATCAGTCGTTTATGTCACTTATAGCAAGGTCCGCCCCTGCATATTGTGTTAGTCATTTATCTATGTGACTGAAATTTAATAGTTAATAAGAAGTTTTAAGCCGAGGACTTTGCGAAGAAATTAATGTATTTACGAGGAAACCATATCATTACTGATCTTAATCATATATTGGGTCTGTCCTTATCGCCGTCATTAAATATATATTAATTATTGGATGATCACCTATTTACCAGTAATTGTATGATTATTACGTCGATGAGTCATAGGTAGATCAATTTAACTATATATTTCGATAATATTTTCTTTCCTTTTCGGTCTTCTGCTGTCACCAGGTTGTCGAAAAATGCTAGTATATATATTTCAACCTAACAAGACAAAAGCTAACACGACAAATTACAAGTCTTAGTTGTGTTGATAACAAATTCTCACCCACGTAATCAAATTTATTTTCACTTGTGTATAATATTGATTAAGCTTTTCAATGCGTTAGGTTACGAACGACAACGAAAATTGAAAACGCAACTCATTTGTCTGATACGTGAAATCGCTTTTCATTTTTATTTTATTTTTATGACTTTAACGTTATCACAATGCAAAGAAAGTTCATTAAAAAAACAAACAATTTAAAGAAAGTTTGATTATTTTCTTCCAGGCAAAAAATACTTGTTAAAATAGCAAACTAAAGATCTGATTTTGACGAGCGCACAGAGACATGGACGATGTACATCATTTCTTTTCCATTAAATATTCTTGTAATTATTTTGAATGAATTGGGTGACACATGCATGCGTATAAATGGTGAATCTTAAAATAATTCGGATCTTTTAATTTTAAATTACAAATGCAATATGGAACGTCCATTTAGTGAACGGCCATTAATTTAGATTTAGTATATTTTGACTTTTCCCCAATTTTATAAGAGAAAGGGAGAAAATGAAAATAGTCTCTAAGCTCTAATCACTAATCAAATTATTGCATGTCATGTGAAACCCATCGATCTAACTCATCACTTAATTTAATTATAAACTTTAGCAAGAAAACATTTTAAAACTCCATTCGTTTTCTTAGGTAGTTGTGTTAATTACGTAGTTCACAAAATTAAAAATTGTAAAAGGTAAAAATATAAGATGTTACTATCAAAATTTATCAAATGTGATTTTTTAAAGAAAAAATATCTAACAAAATAGTATAATACCTTAATAATCAGACAATCATCTCACTCGTACCCACCAAAATATCCCCACAAAAACAAAATAATTATGCATACATAGAAAAATATATTTACATATGTATATGCGGACGATTATATATAGAGAGTACACTTTTAACAAAACTCTTGCATATCCAACATTTCTCATTCAAGGAAAAAGAAAAAGAAACAGAACAAGAAAAGAAATGTCGAACAAGGTCCATGAGAGGAGCATGGAAGTGGAAGAGGAAGAGAGTTCTAAAAAGGCGAGTCCAAAGATTCAAGAACTTCCGAAGAAGATGAAAAAGATTCTAAACAATATATGGAAAGTTGGAAAAGAGGATCCAAGAAGAGTGAAACATGCTTTAAAAGTAGGCGTTTCTTTAACACTTGTGTCCTTATTGTATCTCCTGGAACCTCTCTTCAAAGGCGTTGGAAATAGTGCAATGTGGGCAGTCTTGACAGTTGTGGTCGTTCTTGAGTTTTCTGCCGGTAATTTTAGAATTTTTCTTTATTAATATTTTTTTTTTAATGCGGTAGACAAAGATAATTTGCTCGTAAGAATAGCTATAATGATCAGTATATTACTATATTGTGTAAGCTCATATACACATGTTTTTAAATGATGTAAATGGTTTAATCTAATTCAGGTGCAACGTTATGCAAGGGGCTTAATAGAGGATTAGGGACACTAATTGCGGGATCCTTAGCATTTTTCATTGAATTTGTTGTTAATGATTCTGGCAAAATCTTCCGAGCAATTTTCATCGGCGCTGCAGTTTTCATTATTGGTATGTAATTATTTGTTTATGTATATTTTGCGGAGTATATATTAGGCTGCTGAAGTTAAGATCGTGTACCTAGAAGGTGAATCATAAGTTTGATCGATGTCGAAAGTTTGGATAGCTAGAGTTTTTTTTTTTTCTCTCAATAACTAAAATGGATCAAGTCAGATCATCAGTTTTATTTATCAGAAACTGTTAAAATCTACAACGTAATGGATTTAAACAGAATTTGGATATAGTTATGGAGTTTTATGATGCAAAATATTTTAGTTTAAGTAGACGAAAAGCTTGAAAATTTGAATTGTTATCTCTCGAATAATAAAAGATGATGTGACCATATATATAAACCGTATGTGTGCATGTGTGTTACAGGAGCGGTGATTACATATCTGAGGTTTATCCCATACATAAAAAAGAACTACGATTACGGCATGCTAATATTCCTCTTGACGTTCAATCTAATAACAGTGTCAAGTTATAGAGTTGATACTGTGATTAAGATTGCACATGAGAGATTCTATACTATAGCCATTGGTGTTGGTATTTGCCTCTTGATGAGCCTTTTGGTATTTCCTATTTGGTCCGGTGAGGATCTCCATAAGAGTACCGTTGCTAAGCTTCAAGGCCTCTCTCTTTCCATCGAAGGTACCTACTTAAGATCATATAATATATGATAGATTAATCAATAGATTATATTTTCCAATTAATTACAACTTGATTATATGTTATTTATCTTAGCATGTGTGAATGAGTACTTTGAGGAGGAGAAAGACAAAGAAACATCAGATTCAGAAGACATGATCTATAATGGATATAAGACTGTCTTGGATTCAAAATCCACCGATGAAGCACTCGTAAGTTAATTTAAATTGAACATTTACTTGAGAACTCGAACAGAACAATTTCATATCCAAGAATATATATTAAAATAAGCACATGAGAACATGTATATGTAGGCAATGTATTCAAGTTGGGAGCCAAGACACACAAGACATTGTCATAGATTCCCATGGCAACATTATGTTAAAGTTGGAGCTGTTCTTCGTCAGTTTGGTTACTCTGTTGTCGCTCTTCATGGTTGCTTAAAAACTGAAATTCAGGTATATTCAAGTTTTTGGTTTTTTTTTATATTATTTTATGGGTATTTATATTGATTATAGAGTATTGCAAAATTCATAGCAAAAGATAACAAAAATTATGAAATGTTAATGATAATATTGTAAGTAAAATGGATTGAAACACGTTTTGATGCTATTAACTCCACTTATTTAAATATTGTAGAATGCGTGGATTATTTATAAAATTATTTTTCTATTAAATTTCAAAAGTGGACTTCAATTTACGTCGTATGAGAGATGCGATTTATCATCGTAGAGGGATAAAAAAATTATTTAACGTGTTAAATATTGATATATTTATGAATTCATCTACAGATATTAATACATTATATTTATATGTATGATCAATAAACCACGTCCTAAATTTCATCCAATATATATATTTTTGAACTTTATAATATTCATTTGTTAATAAATTAGTAAAGTTTATTTAACTTAACTCTAAGATATAATTGTGTTTATGTTAAATTTTGCAGACTCCTAGGTCTATCCGTGTACTTTTCAAGGATCCTTGCGTTAGACTCGCCGGAGAACTCTGCAAAGTCTTGTCGGAACTCGCCGCAAGCATTCAAAATCGACGTCTCTGTTCACCGGAGATTCTCTCCGAGAGCCTTCAGGTGGCATTACAAGATCTCAACTCCGCCCTCAAATCACAACCTAAACTCTTCCTCGGCTCTAACGAAAACGGCAACAATATTTCCCAAAACGGCAATAGCGGTAGACATAACCCTTACGTTTCACAACACATCAACAAAGACACAAACGACGCCGGATCACGTCTTGCGCAAAATGCTGTTGTTTCGCGTCCTGGAACGCCTCGCGGCGAAAGAACATCGCGTTTAGGCCCAAACGGTGGCGTTTCGTTTTCTAGATTGAAGGCTGACACGTTAGAACGGAGATCAACGGCGGTAACGTCCGGAGAGCGACGTATATTAAGGCAACAGCTGAGCAAGATTGTGGTGATGACGAGTCTTGAATTCTCGGAGGCGTTACCGTTTGCTGCGTTTGCGTCGCTTCTTGTGGAAATGGTGGCGAGGCTTGACAATGTGATCGAGGAAGTTGAGGAGCTAGGAACGATCGCTTGCTTCAAGGAATACAACACTGACACTGATCGGACAGATGTGGAGGTTCGAGTGGAGAAGCCGGCTGATCTTGTGGTTGGCGTGGAGTGAAAGTGCCAACAGTTTTGGTTTGGACCAGACCTATAATCTCTTCAGAGTTTAGACCGAAGACCAAAACAAGTGACCACTAGTAAAATTGAGCTACTGACTTCAGACAATCGAACCGATTGGTACGATGAAGTTTAATTTTGGTTCGGTTTCGGATGTGATTAGATTTCTTTGCAACATGAGTTGCTGATTTTCAAGTGTTCGCTAAGAAAACTTAATGTCTATATCTTTTTGCTTTGTGAAAGTCGTTATTTTTGGTAAGTTATAGCTAATATCGGAGAAAAACAAAATGAAAAAGGGTAAAACCGGAGACATCGTGTGCTCCACTCAAAATGCTTTATGGTCGACCAACTTAGTGTATTTTTTCAATGCTTATTAATATACTTTAGTGAAGAGATTCACATATATAATGTACTATTGAAGCGAAAATAAAATATCAGAAATCTATTAGCTTCTGATCCAATGAATGAAAAAGATGTAACCTTTTGGGGGTTTCTGAGATATTTAGCAAGTTGCTGCGTCACATTTTCCTTTTTTTACATTATTTCATTTTCGGACACGACAAATTAAATAGCATGTTTACAAATTTATTAATAGTGGACTAATGCTTCTACTATAGTTGGAGATTTAAGACAAACTAGGAAAATCTTTTAATCCTTTTTATAATTATTTTTATGAAACATCTAGTTATGTTTCCCCCCCCCCCCCCCGCGAAAACATCTAGTTATGTTTTCAATAAAAAAAGCATTAAAAAAGTTATGAGTTTAACCGATATATTAGATGAACAGTATAATAGTAGAATAACAGGTATAGCGACAGTTCTAAATAAAAATAAAAATATTTGAATCGCGTCTTAAACCATGAAAACGTAAAATTAGTATAGCATTGTCTATATAATGGACGATTAATTTGGTTGTTGCTGGAGATCAGGAGATGTAAAAGTTGTATACAAAAATCATTATTATATTCTCATAAATTATTAAGATTGTATATGTGTATATATTTTTCGCCAATAACATATATTCATATAATATAATATGTTGGTTTAAATCTGGTGACATAATTATTATTACAAATCACTAACCTACACATCATGATTATGTTGTGTATATAGTAACGTCAAAATAATGGTATATAGTCTTTCCAATTAATCATTGTAGCAGGGAAATGAAAAGCCTCATTACTGATTACTGTCGACCATTCATTTTCGGACAAATTGACGTCCATTATTTATTTATTTTCCTTGTCGACTGCTTATTCATCAGTTAAAACACCGATCTCATAGAAGAAATCCATTAAAAAAAAAAATTGTAATGGAGGCAAAGGATCAGATAAGTTCTCCCATAGTAAGATACATAAGTAGTCCGACTCTAATAACATGAATGTTTGGGAATTTTCTGGAAATGGATACAAATATTTGTCGACATAGAGATAAAAGCAAAGACATACAGATTTCTAACCATAAGATACAAAAGACAAATAGTATATTTAAATGATGAATATACGACAAACATAATTAAAATAAATATTTACTAGTGTATTTATGATTATGGCTATTATATGTTTTGCTTCAAAACTACAATTCGTAAATCTAATTTGTGTAATAATAGCAACAAAATCAAGCAAGGGTTAGTACCGGTCAGTAGAGAAGAGTGCTATTCTGGTTTCACCGAACCAGAATCCTATGATGCTGTGTATTTGTTATAATTATCAAAGGCTTATCACATATTTATAAAAACTTTTAACCAAATTTTCTTTGAAATATCTTAGATTCTTATTTAAATAAAAATTCAAAGTTGATGGGGACGAATCTTTCTTAGCTATTTCACCTACTTTTTTACATAGGCTAGAGTACAATAAAACTAAAACCCTTCCACATTGAAAAAGCTTTCACTATAATACGCCAATATATATATATCATTGAAAGTAAAAGACATATTAAAAGAAAGAAAAATGTTGAACAAGATCGAAGAAGGGAGCATGGAGATTTCCATGGAAGAAACAAGTTCAAGAAAAACGAGACAGAAGATTCTAAAACTTCCGAAGAAGATGAAGAAGATCCTTAAGAATCTATGGAATGTCGGAAAAGAAGATACGAGGAGAGTGAAACATGCTTTGAAAGTAGGAGTTTCCTTAACGCTTGTGTCCTTATTGTATCTCATGGAACCTTTCTTCAAAGGTATCGGAAAAAATGCAATTTGGGCAGTCATGACCGTCGTTGTCGTTCTCGAATTCTCTGCCGGTAATTATATCAACATTTATTTGCATATATTTGTTTGTGTACTTATCTTAATCTTACTCATAATCATCATGGATGTGCCGTGTGCGTTGTTTATGTGTATATGACAATTGACACACATATACACAATATTTATTTTTAAAGAGTAATATTAGTCTCCCTTAGTTCACCCATTTTGTTTTGTAAATTTTGACTCGCATTTGGTTATCTACCAAATAAACCATTTTAAAAAATAAAATTTAACTGCTATCATCTCGACAGTTACAAACTTAATATATCTATGATAATTTTATCCTTTTTATTTGTCCCAAGAATTCATCACACAAACAAAGTTTGCTGTTTATCCACTCTTACATATATTGTTTTATGATTTCGTTGGAAGGAAAAAAAAATTCTGATTGAAATTCTTTTGCTTAAAAATAGAATAGTTAAGCGAATTTGGAACAGAAACAAAGAAAAAAAAACATGTTTGGCGAATTTTTTATATTGAAAGTTAACTAACTCATTTTTTTAGTCACTTGCATTTTTTACTGGATAAGTAGATATCTAGCCATGGTCAAATTGTAAGTGGCTTAATTCATTAGTCGTCTACTGGTATGTGATAAAATTAGTTAGAATTGCAGGTGCAACATTACGCAAGGGATTAAATAGAGGATTAGGGACACTAATAGCAGGATCTTTGGCTTATTTTATGGAGTTTGTTGCTGTTAATTCCGGTAAAATTTTTGGAGGTATCTTCATTGGCGCTGCTGTTTTCATCATCGGTACGTGTTTTGTTTTACATTAATAAGACTTGTTTGGTCGAAATAAGATAATTTATAGAAACGAGACGTTCAATTATTTAAATGTGCATAAGTATAATTAAAAAGCTTGTTACAAAGACTGTGAACGGTTTATTTATTATATTTCATGTCTATATAAATTGGAAGTTTTTGATTGACAATGCAGGTTCAATTTTATATAGCTTTTAACAATGTATATATGTTCATATATATGTATAACAGGATCGACGATAACGTACATGAGATTTGTTCCGTACATAAAGAAAAACTACGATTACGGTATGCTTGTATTTCTTTTGACGTTTAATCTAATCACAGTATCAAGTTACAGAGTTGGAGATTCTGTGATTAAGATAGCACATCAGAGATTATTGACCATTACTATGGGTATTGGGGTTTGCCTCTTCATGAGCCTTTTGGTTTTTCCGATATGGTCTGGTGATGACCTTCACAAATTCACCGTAACTAAGCTCCAAGGCCTATCTCTGTCTATCGAAGGTACATATACTATAACACAATATGTACAAGGAAATTAATCAATTATAGTTATACATAATGTATATATAGTGCATGATATAAATGGTTTTTTATTCTATACATAGCATGCGTGAGTGGGTACTTTGAGGAGGACAAAGGCAAAGAAAATTCAGATTCAGAATCTGAATCTGATGATGAAGAAGTAATCTACAAAGGGTACAAGACTGTTTTGGATTCTAAATCCTCAGATGAAGCACTCGTAAGTCCTTATTAAAACAAAATCTTTATTTCAAATCCTACTAAATTCTTGCCTGTTGCATATCTTTGTAAGCATAAAATACTTATTATAACTTTTTTGGTGAGAAAATGTTATAAATGTGGTTTGTGCTTACAAAAAATATCTAAAAGAATACACATAGAATAAAAAAGACAGTAAATTACATATTAAAAATAACTCGTACAATTAAAATCTAAAATCACCAATCCATGATATAGGCTAGTATTTGAATGGTTCACCTATTATAGGGACTATATCAGTTCAAGTAATTTCAATGCTATTTCAACCATAATTAACCAATGTACATGTTTTGGATGAACAAAATGACAGAAAAATTGTCTTTTCAATATGCTTTGGGAATAGTATAAGTTTTGGTCCGTGATCAAAATTATTAAAAGTAAAATTAAAAAGAAAAGATTGATATGTGAAAATTTAAATAGTAGGAAAATATCCAACATACTAACATATTATGACATATAGGCAATGTCTGCAAGTTGGGAGCCAAGACACACACGGCGTTGTCAAAAATTTCCATCTCAACAATATATCAAAGTTGGATCTGTTCTTCGCAAGTTTGCTCACACTGTTGTTGCTCTTCACGGTTGTTTACAAACCGAGATTCAGGTAATTAAATTCTTCAACTTTCTATTTGAACATATAAAACTACAACGTATAATAGTTTTACATAATTTTTTGACTTTATGTTAATTTTGCAAGACTCCAAGGTCTATTCGTATCCTCTTCAAAGATCCTTGTGTTAGACTATCCGGAGAAATCTGCAAAGTTTTGTCTGAACTCTCCGAAAGCCTTCGAAACCGACGTCACTGCTCGCCGGAGATTCTCTCGGAAAATCTTGAAATAGCTTTGAAAGATCTCAACAACTCAATAAAATCGCAACCTAAGCTCTTCTTGGGGTCTAACCTTCACAGTGACATCACCAATAAGCACTTAAACGGCCACGTTTCACATTACAATGATCATAACCCAAACGGCATCACTTCGTATCACAACGACAATAATAGCTTAAACGGCAACGTTTTAGGTCAAACTACGCAACAGAACGATGCCGTATCAAGACCTCGCTTAAACAGTGCCGTGTTGAGTTCTAGCTTTGTGGGTGACACGTCAAACCGGAGATCGGTTAAGAAATCGGCGGCGATTGGAGAGAAGAGAAGATTGAGGAAACAATTGAGCAAAATCGCTGTTATGAAAAGTTTGGAGTTTTCGGAAGCGTTACCGTTTGCTGCGTTTGCGTCGCTTCTCGTGGAGATGGTGGCGAGGCTTGATACTGTGATTGATGAGGTGGAAGAGCTGGGAACGATCGCCTGTTTCAAGGAGTACGATAAGACGGTGGATATAGTGGTTGGAGACTGAACCGATTGGTACAAGTTGTTTGGTTTGGTACAGTTTTCTATATGATTTGATTCTGTTTTGCGATCGGTTTCGCGTTTTTCATTTTGCCGGAATTTTTGTAATGCTTTGGTAATTTTCGAATTTCGATGGTCAAAATTTTATTTCTGGTATTGGTCCGGTGCTTGGAAAAAAAGAGAAAAAAAATTATAGAAAAGGGCCCAACCGGGTTCGAACCGGTGACCTATTGATCTGCAGTCAATTGCTCTACCACTGAGCTATGGACCCAACTTGTTAAGACCTCACGATATGTACGATTAATCCGTAACATTTAAAAAATCATGTATTCGTTTTTGACGTAAAAAATCACATTTTATAGCTTATAAAGTATGGTCGATGGTCCACTATCATTCCTTTTTATAAAAAGATTGTTTTACGCATAATCATTTTTATCAACTTATTCAGTTCCACAAAAGTTTGTTTAAAGATTTTATAGTGACTTCAGGAAAAAAATGTTTGTTTATAACTTTATATAGTGTTGTGGTCCAATGAAATAATGAATCATTATAGTTTTTTTTTTTTATCAAACCATTCCATATACGAGTTCATTCATAACTTAAATAGAGAGAATTAAACATCCTCTAGAACCATACATATTAAATAAATTAAAGTTTAGAACAGATAAAATTTGATAAAATGACTGCGAATTCGAGGCCAGACTCAAATGCGTGGCAATGAGAGATAATATAATAATGAATACAAGCTTGTTTGATATATAATAATATAATAATGAATCTGGGAGATAAGTTAACTAAACAGTCTTGTTTCAGAAATTGATTTAGTATTGACGAATACAAGCACAATACGGCCACTGAAAGTGCATAACTTTTTTTTTTTTTATCCTTTCTTCTTTTTTCTTATGCTTAGACTATGCCAAATTGCCAATCGCAAAATCTAAACATTTATCACATGTGGTTCGACACCCTAATAGTACATGTGACATTACCGTACATTTTCGAAATTAAGAACTAGAATACTTGTTAAATCGATCTCTACATAACATAGCTAGCTCTATCAAGAACCTCCAAATGAATCGCACTTATAATCTGCAAAGGAATTGTATAGTTGAGGAATTTCGAATCTCACACATGACGTGAAAGTATTAATCTTATAATACACAACTAGCTAGAACAAGAAACTTTGGACTACATAACATCAATTTATATTAACTCCCCTGATTTAAGAATGACCACAGAGGAATCGTTTGGCCAATTTCATTAAAATCTAATAATATATATTCACGGCAAAACGTGTCTGGAGATAATATAATAATGAATCATTATAGTAGAAATGAGAGATCGTTTGATATATAATTAATTCGAACTAAAAGATGAAAATAATACATAGTCCTATTAGAAGATAAAATACAGATTCACATACTTAACGACAAACCTTTATATACAAATCCATAATAAAATTAAGATAATGAAATGAAAAAAAAAAACCATCCACAGACCAATTCTAAACGTTGGAAGACTCGAACGATAAAATGCGGTTTTGTCTTAAAGAGAGACTTCAAAGATATTCCTCCGTCTAGGAGAAATCTGAGAAACCAAATAAATCGGTTTGATCGTATCCACAATATTCAGTTTGCATAGATTCATACATGTTCTGATCTACATTTGTATTCAAGGTACTCGCTGGAAGATCCACGTTTTGATTAGCGATGGCCGGAAAATCAAAATCTTGAAAGTACTCAGATACAACATCTTGGATTTGAGGATAGTCCTACAAAAAAAAAAGTTTAACCGGTATTAGATACACAAATTCCGGTTCTTGTTTAGTTATTGGTCAGTTTAGAATGGAAATAGTTACTTTTGAAGAATCGAGAGTGAAATCAGGTGAAATCCAAATGCTGGAAGAGTCTATTTCAGCAGAAACCGGATTGGTAAATGAGATTTGTTCCGAACATAAAGAAAAACTACGATTACGGTATGCTTGTATTTCTTTTGACGTTTAATCTCATCACAGTATCGAGTTACAGAGTTGGAGATTCTTTGGTCGACCATTACTATGGGTATTGGGGTTTGCCTCTTCATGATCCTTTTGGTTTCTCCGATATGGTCTGGTGATGACCTTCTTAAATTCACCGTAACTAAGCTCCAAGGCCTATCTTTGTCTATCGAAGGTACATATACGATAACACAATATGTACAAGGAAATTAATCAATTATAGTTATACATAAGGTAAAGTATATGATATATTACATATTGTAGTTCCCGGTAAAGCTTAGAAGTCTTTGGTTCGAATGGTTCTTGAGACGAAACTAATATTACATAATGTGGTTTCAAGTTTTTTGGAAGATTACGGACTTCGGCCTAGAACCTTCTGATAATCCAAAAAAAAAAATGTACATGATATAAATGGTTTTTATTCTAGTCATAGCATGTGTGAGTGGGTACTTTTAGGAGGAGAAAGGCAAAAAAAATTCGGATTCTCAATCTGAATCTGATGATGAAGAAGTAATCTACAAAGGGTATAAGACTGTTTTGGATTTGCTAAATCCTTAGATGAAGCACTCGTAAGTCTTTTTAAATCAAAATCTTTATTTATTAAGAGATATTAGGCTTATTGGGCCTTGCATAGTTAGTTATTAGAATTATTAGAGTAATTTGTCCCACATTGTTAGTTTCTAACTTAAGGTTGACTAATGTACTTGTATATATATGTGCCTTTAGGCTGATGAATAAAGGACTTCCGCAAATTACTTTGACATGGTATCAGAGCCTAAGACTACATAAAGTTTTGGTCTAGCTCTTGAATTAGAGCCTAAGGCTACATAAAGTTTTAGTCTAGCTCTTGATTCAAATTCTTGTTTATAAGTTGTGGTTTATTGGAAAAAGCAAACCGACGAGGTCTTGCTCTTTTGTTTTTGGTGAACTCGGACCGACGAAGTTCGGGATTTCTGTAGAGCCATAAGGGCTTGGGATTTCTTTATTCGGTGGAGAAACTTGGGGAATTTCTCTATTTTTTTAGAAAATATGAGATTTCAGAGTCAAAGAATTAAGTGTTCTTATTGTTCGAAGTATGGTCATGATGTGAGATCATGTTATCAAATATATGGATATCCAGATTGGTGGCTGGAAAAGTATGGAAAACCTACGGAACAGGTGTCACACACTGAAAAACGTGCGTCACACACGGAGGCGTCACAGGTTGATCCTCAGGCTGTGACAGGGCTCAAGAAAGATCAATGGCATAAGCTTGTTCGATGGTTTGATTCGAGATTAGAGATAGCAAATCGGGTGAGTAATAACACCTATACAGATGAGTGGATTATTGATAGTGGTGCATCGCACCATATGACGGGTACGTTAAGTGGTATGTTTGATGTGCATAAAGTCTCACCATGTTTAATGGGTCTGCCTAATGGAAATGTTGTGGTTGCTGATAGAGAAGGAAGTGTGGCATTGACGGAGAAGTTAACTTTGACACATGTGCTTATTGTTAAGGAACTCAAGTGCAATCTCATCTCTGTGTCACAAATTATTGATGCAATGAATTGCATTGTGTTGTTCTCCAAGCAAATGTGTCGGATACAGGATCTTGCTTTGCAAATTCTGATTGCAGTGGGTGAAAGAAAAGATGGATTGTATTTTCTTCAAGGTATTCAGAAGACCGTGAATGTGGCGAAGGTAAGTAAGTTGGGGTCTTTGGAACTTTGGCATAAAAGGATGGGACACGCTTCTGAAAAGGTTATTAGGAGATTGCCAGAAGTGGATCAAAAGAGTGTTAGTGTTTCTGATTGCGATGTCTGTTTCCGAGCAAAGCAGTGTCGGAATGTATTTCCTGTGAGTACAGAGAAAAGCAATGAATGCTTTGAGATGATTCATTGTGATTTGTGGGGGCCATATCGAACACAGAGCGTGTGTGGATCCTCTTATTTTTTAACTATTGTGGATGATTATTCTAGAGCTGTGTGGGTTTTTCTTCTTGCTGATAAAACACAAGTTCAGAAAACAATGGTAGATTTCTTTGCTCTCATTCAGCGTCAGTTTGAGAAACATGTAAAAATCGTGTGAAGTGATAATGGTAGTGAATTCATGGGTATGAAGGAGTATTTTTCGTACATCAGGGATAATTCATCAAACTTCGTGTGTGGGAACTCCTCAACAAAATGGTAGAGTGGAGCGAAAACATCAACATATATTGAATGTCGCACGAGCGTTGAGGTTTCAGGTAAATTTACCAATAGAACTTTGGAGTTATTGTGCTTTGAGTGCTGCGTATCTAATCAATCGTACGCCTTCTGTGTTACACAATGGTAAGAGTCCTTATGAAATTATCTTTGGAAAAGCTCCTGCTTATAGTGAGATACGAGTTTTTGGATGTTTAGCGTATGCTCACAATCAGAAACGTCATGGAGATAAATTTGCGAGTAGAAGCAGAAAATGTGTATTTTTGGGATACCCTTATGCAAAGAAGGGATGGAACTTATTTGACTTGGAGACACATGAAATCTTTGTTTCTCGGGATGTCACTTTTATTGAGGAACGATTTCCATATTTGGAGCTAAAAAATGCACAGGTGGATGAGTCTTCTAATTCTAATCAAATGAGGTTATATGTGGATGATAATGTTGGATTTGACGATATAGAACCTGCCTTGACAAGTGAAATTATACAAGCTCTCACAAGAGATACAATGACACAGACTCAGGTTGTGTCAGACAAGGTTACAGAAGAAGAAAGACAAACTATAGGAAACGAAATACGCAATATCTTAGGAATTACAGCGCCACAAACTGAACCTGCATCGGATACACAGTCTGAGATTGTGCAACCTGCTTTAGTGACAGAACCTGCATCGGTTACACAGTCTGAGAATGTGCAGCCTGCTTTAGTAACAGAACCCGCATCGGTGACACAGGCTGAAACTGTGCAACATCCTGCATCAACAGAAACTTTGGGACGAGGAATGAGAAAGAAAGAATCTTCTGTCAAGCTACGCGACTATGTGTGCAATACGACATTTACAATGAATACTTCTACTGTGAGTCAGGAGTTGAGTAATGATTATGATATTGAGAATTATGTGAATTGTGAAAGGTTCTCTGTGTCACACAAGGCATTTCTGTGTAGTATAACTGAAGGAGTTGTGCCGAAAAGTTTTTCTGAAGCCATGAAGGATCCGCGATGGAGAGAAGCTATGAGACTCGAGATTGAGGCCCAAGAACGAAATCAAACATGGTTGATTGAACAATTACCACCAGGTAAGCATGTGATTGAGTGTAAATGGGTTTATACAATTAAGTATAATGCAGATGGCTCCATTGAAAGGTATAAGGCGCGACTCGTGGCATGTGGCAATCGTCAAAAAGAAGGGATTGATTATTCTGATACATTTGCTCCTGTAGCAAAGATGAGCACAGTTCGATTGGTTCTTCAAGTTTCCGCTGGGAAAAATTGGGAGCTACATCAGATGGATGTGCACAATGCGTTTCTTCATGGAGATTTGGATGAAGAGGTCTTTATGAGGGTACCTTAGGGTTTTGGTGCTTCTAAGAAGGGTATGGTATGTCGTTTGCGCAAGTCGCTGTATGGTTTGAAACAAGCTCCACGATGTTGGTTCGTGAAACTTTCGAAGGCACTTTTGGGGTACGGTTTTACACAGAGTAAGGCTGATTACTCTCTTTGCTCATTAGTTCGTGATAAAGTTCACTTGCACGTTCTAGTGTATGTGGATGATCTTGTGGTGACAGGAAGCTCTCCTGAGGTGATACAAAAGTTTAAAAAATATTTAAGCAATTGCTTTCATATGAAAGATTTGGAAAAATTGAAATATTTTCTTGGATTGGAAGTTGCAAGAAATGCAGAAGGTATATACTTATCACAGAGAAAGTATGCTCTGGATATTATTGCTGATGTCGGTTTGCTTGGTGGTAGGCCTGTAGAGTTTCCGATGGAGCAAAATCATCAGTTGGGAAGGTCGACGACAAAGATTTTGACTGATCCAGAGAAGTATCGGAGACTGGTTGGAAGGTTGATTTACTTGGCTGCGACTAGACCAGATCTTGCCTACTCAGTTCACATCTTATCTTAATTTATGAATGAGCCAAGAGAAGATCATTGGATGGCTGCATTGAGAGTTGTTCGTTACTTGAAAGGATGCCTGATAATGGAAATTTTGTTGAAATCTGATTGTAATTTTCATCTTACAGCTTGGTGTGATTCAGATTGGGCTGGATGTCCAATCACGAGGAGATCTTTGAGTGGATGGTTGATACAATTGAGAAATTCTCCTGTGTCATGGAAGTCAAAGAAGCAAGATGTTGTATCATGCTCTTCAACTGAAGCAGAGTATCGAGCTATGGTTTTGGCATTGAAGGACTTGAAGTGGTTAAAGAGTGTGTTGTTAACGATGGGTATTGCACATTCTGGTCCAATGGATTTATATTGTGACAGCTAGTCTGCGCTTCATATTGCAGCTAATCCTGTGTTTCATGAGAGAACGAAGCATGTGGAGATTGATTGTCATTTCATTCGAGACGATATACAGGCTGGCATTGTTCAGACCCAACATGTTTCTACTACTCAACAGTTGGCGGATATCTTCACTAAAGCACTTTGAGGACGTCCGTTCAAAGGAATTTTGTGCAAGTTGGGCATTCGAGATCTCCATGCTCCAACTTGAGGGGGGGGTATTAAGAGATATTAGGCTTATTGGGCCTTGTATAATTAGTTATTAGAATTATTAGAATAATTTGTCCCACATTGTTAGTTTCTAACTTAAGGTTGACTAATGTACTTGTATATATATGTGCCTTTAGGCTGATTTAGGCTGATGAATAAAGGATTTCCGCAAATTACTTTGACATTATTCCAACTTCGACAAAATTCTTGATTGATATCGGCTCTCTTTATAAGCATAAACATACATTTTTATACCATTTTCTGGAAATAAAATGTTATGAATATGTGTTTTACTCTTACAAAAGTATCTAAGAGATAACACATAAAATATAAAGACAATAAATTACGTATTGAAAAAAAATTCTCATTATTAACATCTAAAACACCAGTCCTTGATATATTCTAGTATTTGAATTGTTCATCTATAATAAATTGAGAGAGTATATAAGTTCAAGTAATTTCAATGCGATATCAACCATAATTAACCAAGGTGTACTACATGTCTTGAACGGAAAAAAAGACAGAAATAACTGTCTTTTCCATATGCTTTGTAAATAGTATAAGTTTTGGTCTGTGATCAAGATTATTAAAAGAAAAAATTGGTATGTGAAAATTTTGAATAGTAAGAAAATATCGAACATACTACATTATGACAAATATATAGTCAATGTCTGCAAGTTGGGAGCCAAGACACACAAGGCGTTGTCAAAAACTTCTATCCCGACTTGAGGGAATGTACAGGCCAAAACCTCTTAATTATTTAAAAAAAAAAAATTCCATCTCGACAATATATCAAAGTTGGATCTGTTCTTCGCAAGTTTGCTCACACTGTTGTTGCTCTTCATGGTTGTTTACAAACCTAGATTCAGGTAAATTCTTGAAATTTCTCTCTGAACATATAAAACTACAACGTATAATAGTTGTGGGATTATGCCTAAGTGTCTCAAAGACTCTTAACCCAAGAGAAGATTTCAGTTGCGGATTAAAAAGGAAGTCATGCGGAGCTAAAGTGATTTCGGGTACAGCTCAAGGAGACAAAAGAGTAATTAATCTGCGTCTAAAGTGAAGTGGTGTTTGTCTTCTTCCTCTGCTTTTTTGAAACAGAGTACGAAGGTTGGAGGCAGCAAGAAAAACGGCTCCAAGAGTGAGAGTTGTATAATAAGAGGAGACAAGCTGACACATTAGGGTTGAGAGAAGGTGTATCTAAGAAGAGAGGCAAGTGTGATTATTCATAGATTGTCTCTAAGGGTTATTTGTAACTGAGAAACCTCTCTAGTGGATTTCCGAGTACAAGTCTCGGCTAGACGTAACAACAATTCCATTCTGGAACGTGAATTGGATAAATTTGCTTGTGTCTTTTGTCTTTATGCATAAACACACGAGTGATCGAACAAACAAAGAGAGTTAGTGAGAGATTCCGCGTAAAACATTCACAAAGGTTCAAGCTTTTACACAAACATTCGTGGAGATGGTGGCGAGGCTTGATACTGTGATTGATGAGGTGGAAGAGCTGGGAACGATCGCTTGTTTCAAGGAGTACAAATGTACAATAAGACGGTGGATCATATAGTGGTTGGAGACTGAACCGATCGGTACAATTTATAGCATAGTTTGCTTTGGTACCGTTTATGTGATTTGATTCTGTTTTGCATTTCGTGTTTTTCATTTTTCGGAAATTTTTTGTAATGTGTTGGTAATTCTTGATGGTGAATTTTTTATTTCTGCTCTTGGTCTGGAAGGAAAAAGAAAAAGAGAAATAAAAAATAACAGTGTGTTTGAAAGAAAAGAGGAAAAGGTGTGAGAAAGGGCCCAACCGGGTTCGAACCGGTGACCTATTGATCTGCAGTCAATTGCTCTACCACTGAGCTATGGACCCAAGTTGTGAATATCACACGAGGTGTATTATTAGTAGCAAAATTAAAAAAATCATATTTTCGTTTTTAACGTAAAAAATTCACATTTTATAGCTTATAAAGTTGTATAGTCGATGGTCCCCCGTCATTCTCTTTTTTATATAAAGATTGTTTTACGTATAATCATTTTATTAACTTATCAGTTCCACAAAAGTTTGTTTTAAAGGTTTAATAGTGACGTCAGGAAAAAAAATATTTGTTTATAACTTTATATAGTGTTGTGGTCCAATGAATCATTATAGTAGAAATGAGAGATCGTTTGATACAAAGATGAAAATAATACATAGTCCTATACTCCTATTCGAATTAAACAAAAAAAGTCCATAGAGAAGACAAAAATACAGCCATATATAATAATAAGGTAATGAAATGAAAAAAAAAAAAAAACTGAATAACTCATAATTAAACCATCCATAGACCAATTTTAAAAGTTGGAAGACTCGAACGATAAAAGGCGTTTTTGTCTTAAGGAGAGACTTCAGACTTCAAAGATATTCCTCCGTCTAGGGGAAATCTGAAAAACCGAATAAACCGGTTTGATCGTATCCACAAAAACTGGTTTGCATAGATTCATACATGCTCTGATCTACATTCATGGACAAGGTACTCGGTGGAAAATCCATGTTTTGATTACCGATGGCCGGAAAATCAAAATCTTGAAAGTACTCAGATGCAGCATCTTGGATTTGAGGATAGTCCTACAAAATAAATAAAAAGTTAAACCGGTATTAAATAAACAAAATCCAGTTTAGTTATTGGTCAGTTTAGAATGTGAATACATACTTTTGAAGAATCAAGAATGAAATCAGGTGAAATCCAAATGTTGGAAGAGTCTGATTCAGTAGAAACCGGATTGACAAATGAGTGAAACGGCATCGCTTCATCGCGACTAGGTGAAGTCACTAGACTTGAATAACCTGAACTTTCTCCTGATCCAAGTGTTTGTTCACTTAGATTTTTCCGGATTCTTGAATTAGTCTTGATCTCATTCTTCTTAGCCACACGACATAATACAAAAGCTCCCTGTAATTAATTAACACATTCAATTCTTAACTTTCTCTCATCAAAATTATACACAAATTATACATTTTAAAATTTGATCAAAAATGTAAAGTTCTTACCTTCAAATGTTGTGATCCTTGTGATGGATTCTCATCATCGCATAGTCGATATTCATGCATGAGCCAACTAGTTCTATCACCCAACGGGGCACGACCTTTATAGAAAACTAGGGTTTTTCTATAGCCAATTGTAGAAGATGAACGACAAGTAATTTTTCGGTCTTTTCCGGTTGCCTTCCAATAACCGGCCTTTGTTCCTCGGTTTGTACGAAATCCATTAGGATACTTTTTGTCCCTTGAGCAGAAGAAGAACCATTCCATGTCCCGGTTTGGAAGAAAAGACTTGTCTAATAGTAACAAACAAATAATTTTGTTAAAACAAAAAATTGGAACATAACAAATAATTTTATAAACAATTATGAAAATGAAGTTAATTACCTGGTAACTCCCAAGGATCAAATTTATATAAATCGATAACGGGAATGACTTCAAGCTCGATCTCGAGACCTTCAACTTTTCTTTTCAAGTAATAGTCGATGAGTTCTTCATCAGTAGGATGAAACCGAAATCCTGGAGGTAAACATGAACTTCCCATTTGCAATAACTCTCAGACTAATTAAGTAACTTGCTACACAAGAAATAGCTAAATCTTGATTCACGTGAGTATTATGAATTTAGAAAGCGATATTAACTGAAGTCACGAAGCTAATATAACTGTTAATATTTGGAAAATCCAGAAATAGAAACTTTTCTCGATGCTAGTTTTGTTGTTAAGAAAAGATTGCAACTCAAGTCGATTGCATTCTTTGTGTGACAAGAACATTGTCTGGAATAAAATAAAATGTTTTCTATGACAAAAAACAATTAACGAAAAATTCTTTGGGGTATTTACATTTAGAGGAGGAATTTCAAAAGGAAGAATGTGAAAGATTCAAAAGTGATTAGCGAATGATTAAGAGAGTGATTGAGAAATTAGAAGGTTGGTAGAGTGTTGAATGGTTGTGGAGTGCTGAATATTTATAGCACTATGTTGATCAATAAATAAATGTTACTTGGACTTAGAAAAAAGTTGTTAGAATGTGGCTTTAAAAAAAAATATGGGAGACCAATAAAGTGATTAAGACATAACTTGTCTGAACTCTGAAGTATAAGAAAATATTCCAAAATAAATGCAGCTGGACTCAAAAAGTTATGGACTTGTTCACACTTAGGCACAAGCAACTATCAACTCATTCGTATTGGCTTATGTCTTTCGTTTTGGTTATCTGCTTGATTTATCATTTTTTCTATTAAGTAGGCTTATACCATTTTAACTGAAAGCACTACAATTAATACGTGATCTAGTATGTCAATTTCGTTTTTTTCTTTCGTATCAAATCAATCAATTTCTTATGTATTAAAACAACAAATGCTATAGATATCATAATGTGTACAACTTTTATTTTAAACTAAGTTAAAAGTTTCCGAGTCATACATTACTGTAATATCGAGTTTTAAATATTTCTCCACGTCACCATGCGTAGGAAAAAATAACTTTTTAGTGTAACTAATCACTTTTATGTCATACGAAAAAAAAGACGAAGAAAGTGATAATGAAAACTATGGTTGAGTCGGAACAAGCAAGAGGACCCGCGGCTGCTCTAATCGGACCAAAAACATATTAATTTCTAATTAATTTATTCGTATATATGTCTTTAAGAAGTACCAAAGAGTCACTTTAAATATTTATTGGAAACAAAAAATTCAGAAGTTGTCATACAACTATTAAGATATAAAGTTCTTTAATAAAATAAAAACTATTGAGATATAAAGTTTCATCTCCGACATTGGTGGAATTTGTTCAAACAAGAACTTTACAAAAGAGGATTTGAATTGAAGTTGTACAGAACTGGAACAAGAAAAAACTAAAATGGATCCAAGGTTACATCTAAACCTACAATGGATTAACGTGAAATCTTTATGATTAGATGTCGTAAGGAGAAAAATAAAAGAAACTTGTGAAATATATAAGTGAAGATTTAAGAATCAGGCTATGATTCTAGCCAGTGATGAACTGGAAAGTGTCTTAATCATGCAAGAATGACATCATAAAATAAAAGGTCATTTCGTGTAGTTTGTGAAAGACACCAAAAACTGAAGAGAAAAGTGGGAAGGTGCATTATGTTTTGTGTGCTATATAAGGAAGGAGGCCTAAGGTGCTCTTTAGGTATTTTTAATTATTTTTAATCTTAGTGCGATCATTAGATGATTCTAAGTTTGTAACTAATTTCAAACTTTTATAAGAAATTCGGTATGAGATTAAAAGATTGTCTAACGATTGAGTAAAACCGTTAAGTTAAGCGTGTAATGATTGCTTATATACATAATGTGGAAGAAATTTTTTACAATATTTTTGTCTATATTATCTAATTTTTGTAGAAATTTTAAATCCAAATCTATATATTAAGGCAGTTAATCTATTACAACATTCTAGTTCTATATACCAAAAAAAAGTAGACGAAAACGTGTATATATAAAGTTGCATTACGTGATGTTCCATTTAGTAGGAGTGTAGTACCAATCAATTTATTGTTTCATACCATTCGGTAAATGGATGTCTATATACGTTATTGTCATGGTCAATTATGACACTGTAGTCTGAAGTTAATATCAACCAGTGATTATATATATTTTTTATTACCATAAAGTTTTAGATCGAAACCTGTAATCTCTACGAGTTTGAAACCATAATATGTAATATTAGTTTTGTCGAAAAAACCATTAGAACCAACAATTTTAGGCTTTGCTTGAAATTTTTACCAGTTGAGATATTGACTTTTATATTCAACCAGTGGCTATAGGTCAATTAACTATTTAATGTCAGTGTTTTGCTCGAGCATTGAACTCACAGTGCCTTCGCAGACCAAACAAAATAAAAGAGCAATATCAATCTTTTGAACAATACAACAAAAAAACATTATTCTGTATTGATATTTTAAGCCATTTTTGGTTTGTTTCTGTTCGGAATTGAGCAATCTAGTGAAAAAAAAGTTTAAAAGAATGACTCAGTTGACGGTAACAGAGGTCTAACAGAAATACCTTATCACTTTAGTAGAGTAGGAATATTCCCACACTACTTTATTAACGGGTAACGTTCAAGGGAAAACAACGGAGAAGATAAAAAAAATAAAAAATCCTTTAAAGCACAAATTAATGCATCATTTAGTAGGAAAAAAATGCTCAAAAAGGTTTGTCTATACGAATAACGGATCTATTAATGACCACTCTTACACGGATACCTAAAATTATTCTGAAAGTAAAAATGCATGTTTTTGCGTTTTTGTCTACTTTAGGCGTTTAGCCAATGAATTAATGTTTCTGCATGTCTACTTTAGGAGTATAATTTTATCAATGATTATTATGCTCAATACAAGATTTTCTCGGAGGTCCAAACTTGTTAATTGTATCGTGATCATGTATGATGTGATATAATCTATCTATATGAACTCGGTCATCATTTGTAATAACAAAAAGTTTTAATATTTTAAAGATTTCTTAGGAGAAATGTATTTTAACACCTACATATTGTTATATTATATTTAGTTTGGGTTTAAGGATAATGGAAAATTGTTAATCATAGTTAGATAAGTAACAAATTATAACCAATTGATTAATGAATTTGTTTTATGATGACAGAAAAAGAAACATCAAACGCATCTCATCGATCAAAGTCACCAACCCAACAAGTAGCTATCCTATACTTCTAATTCTAGCTAAGAGTTTTGAACGTTAAAAATTGTGTTAGATTTTGAAGTTAATTAAATTCATAAATTGGAAAGTTAAAAGAGGGAGAGGGTGAAATTGGTGGCAAAGAAGTTATGAGAACTTGGAATAAGAGACAATCATCTTATCGCTTAATCACACTTTGTCTCTTCACCTTTTTCTTCTTTTTGCTTTCGGCTACCTTCTTTTCTTTCTCTACTTTATTTTCCTTCGTTTCTTTCATCTTTTGGTTTTTGGTTGCCCCCATTAGGTTTATTGAGATTCAGCTGACAATTAGACTACTTTTTATAGCTGCAATCTCTATGACAAAGAAAAATTATATCATGTGAAAATCAACTACTAGTGCTTTTTTTTTACCAACAGTACGATTTTACTTTATTTGATGTATATTGGCAGGATTTGTTTTCTATTTGTTCAAAATGTCAATTTGTGTAAAATTATGGTCATGGAATTTGAACATAATAAAGAAGACACAACACTAAAGCTAGAACAACATTTGTATACCGGAGCTAAAAATTTGAGAGTTGAGATAGCAGAATCAAGCTAAGATCTAAATCACCTAGACTATTTTCTCTACTATAATCGTCTAAGAAACAAAATAACCAAAATTGCAGTTTACATATATTTTAGCTAAAGTAAGTGTATTTATCAATAAAAGAATGTCAAAGTCAAATCTAATCCCCATTACTTAAATGTATACTTTTTTTGTTTAAGTCTATACATACTTACTACTTGTTATATTAGGTATGATTTGCATATTCACATGAATATAACAACCTCCACTGTATGTGTTGGGAAATCTAAGAACAAGATCCAAAACGCTTTTTGAATAAGTGTATTTGAATATCTCTTCTTTGGTTGGAATACTGCCGGTTGATCGGTCAAATGTTGACTTTGCAAATGACTCACTTTTATTAGTTTTAAATTGCAATGCGAACTATAGGTTTTCAAATGCTCAAGTCCCAACAAAGTGAAAAAATACTGTTAAAAAGAAAGAAAAAATCTGAATATTTACCAAAATAACAACGGACTTTTTTTGTACCAAAATCCAACAGATGAAAAAAAGTTGCTCATAGTTGACAGTAGAAAAAAAAGAAAATTGTTTCACTATTAAAAAAAAACTGTGACAAAGAACTACAACACAACATACGATATGGACATCACTTTCTTCCAAAAAAACATACAATATGGACCGTTCTAAAACCTAAGCAGGTCTGGTCTATAACTAGCCATAAGCAGATATATAGGCCAATCTTCTATCGGCCCATAAAAGCCCATATGATCATATTACTGTTTAGCCGTCATTTCGAAATCAAGATAAGATTTTCTGATAAATCTCTTTCATGTTTCAGAGATACAAAGCCATCTTCACGCTAAAACCTCTTCCTCGGCGTTTCTCATGGCGACTGTTCTCTCCACGGCCATTGATGTCTGTTTCAATCCTCAAAGTTCAGACACAAAGAAACACAGTCTATTCTTAAAGCCTTCTTCTTTAAGACAATCTCGTGCCAGAAAGCTCAACATTTCTTGCAATTCCTTGAAACAGCCTAAAACCCTAGAAGAAGAGCCAGTCACCAAAACCCCATCTCTCTCTGAGCAACTCAAGCCTCTCTCGGCGACAACACTAAGACAAGATCAAACCCAAGTCTTGTCTAAACCGAAATCTGTCTGGGTAAATCCCACAAGACCCAAAAGGTCAGTTCTTTCACTTCAGAGACAAAAACGCTCCGCTTACTCTTACAACCCTCAAATCAAGGATCTTAGGGCTTTTGCTCAGAGGCTCAATAGTTCTAATTTCACTGAAAAGTCTGAGTTTTTAGCTATTCTCGATGAAATTCCTCACCCACCAAATAGAGATAACGCGTTGTTAGTGTTAAACAGCTTGAGACAATGGCAAA